ATAAATCACTGCAATCAAATCAGAATTCCAGAAGCTTTTGTAAAAATTAACAAGCTGATCCTAAAATATTGCCCTGAAAAGAGGCCCACAGGCTTCACTGGATTGCCCAAAGAGGCCATGGTACAAAGAGAAAGTTATCACTCTTCGAATTTTTAACTTCCATGCATACTCTTTCCTAAAACTGATTCCCCCTGAGAACAGTCTGTGTACTGCAAATTTTCCTTAACCAACTCTTTCTTTCTCCTATTTTACCAAAGAAAAGTATTTTTCTCAGCCATCCTAGTCTTATCATACGGCATTCACTCAGGTATAAAAAATTTGGGGGGGGGGATAGGAGAAAGGCAATTTGAGAATGCATAATTCCTGAGATAAAGTTCCTTATGAGTAAAGCAAAAAGAAGTTTGGTAAGAAATACTGAAGGGGGTTATGCTTTATTTCTTCCAGACCAGATATTAACAGAAAGACCCCAAGCCTTATCTATCACAGAATTGCAATTAAGAAACAAGATGGATATCACAGGAATGTATAGGAACAAATTTACTTAAATTAATAAGCAAAAACTTCAAGTCTCCTAAAAGTAACACATAATCACAAGACACAACGATATAGAAATTAGGTCCTTTGTAACTATCTTCACTCGACAAAAAATTTCAGATGCAATCAACTTAAAAACATGCAAAGAAGTATACTGTTTTTAAAATTAGAGACTACACAAGAAAAATATTTGTAAGGCCATGGACTAAGGTAACACTAAGTTTGTACCCTGCTTTCCTCTCTTAAATGTTTAAACCATAAATAGAAAGAGACTCATGTTCTCTTTTTAATTTAATGCTGCATTTCTGTAAGCAGTTAGGAAATGTTGCTATTAGCATTATAAAACATTGATTGCTATGCCAAATTGTTCTCTACGAACATTTGCTGATTTTGAATAGGAAAGTGAGGGGGCACAAAACCCTATTTAAAACCTGGATACGCATTCCTCTAACTCTGTCTGAGTGGCCATATATTGCATGCCATGCACCTGTTAGATACTGGGAATAGAGATGTGAACAGAAGCATAGCTGCTCTTTAGAGATTCAGACCAACAGCAGACTCGGGCCTGCAAAAATTTATAGCAATTAACTGGAGGTATAAACGTACCATATTATGGGAACAGAAAAATGGGCTCAAAAATGAAGTGTTCTTCCAGTAGAAAAAATGGGAAAGAGCATTCCAGAAAGGATGTGCCAAGACAGGAAGGGGAAGAAGACTATGATGTGATCTGAAAACTACCAGTACTGTAGTTTTGTATGAAAACAAAAGATATTCTGAGTTAATATTCAAATTGCACATGCCCACTCACTATCTAAACAGTCAACGGAAATAAACATGGAAATTCATCTGGTGATTTAATATTTATTTAATACCCACTACGTACCTGATACCATATAAAAACTAGGAAAAAAGCAGCAAAAGAAAAATAAGTCATGAAAGCTCTTATCATCAGAGATGAAAGAGAGAGAAAAGTAAACCAACCACAGCATTAGCCTACAGTGATAAAATGCTAAAGAATATATATGCACAGTGTTACAGGAGCAAAAAGAAGAGAAACAGATGGAAGAAAGTTTCCTCAAAACAGTAGTACTAGAGATGTCTTTAAAGGTGAGTAGGAGTGAACCAGACAGTGAATGGTAGGAGTATAGGAGTAATAACAAAGCAGTTCAGATAAAAGCTGGAGTATAAGAAGGAAGTATGGGAAAGGAGACTTAGAAAAGCCAAATCACCAAGGGTATACATAGTAAGAAATCAATCTGTAATAAGCCACAGGATTTCAGGCATGAGGTAATGTGATCAATCCATGAAGCACAGTGAATGATATAGGGGTGAAAGTACGGAATATGGCTAAAGAGTACATCAACATGTAGTTCAGGGAATATGGTGTGTATGTGCAAAAAATACAGACAGACCTGGAAGTAGGGACAAAGAATATAGGGAAGAGATGCTGAGTTCAGGGAGTATTTCAAAAGTGCTAGTTACATGGATATTTACTTTATAATTATATATTAAACTTCACTATGCACTTTTACATATTATATATGAAAATTTTAAAAGAGGGGGAGGTTGCTGAATTAAGGAAATAGCAGTAAGAAAGGAGAAGACAGGAAAAATTAAGAAACGAGTATGAGTTAGAACTAACAGAACTTACTGACATACTAGGTAAAGGGAAGGGACAAAACTAGGAAGCCCAATCAGGTCTCTAACTTCAGAGTCTAGGTGGAGAATGATGGTTATTTACTAAGGCAGGACTTGAAGGAGACAACTGGTTCTCTCATGGGAGGAAAAACTCAATTATGGACATGGTAAATTTGAGTTGACTTAATGACACTCATAGGGAGATATATCTAATAGGTTTTTAGATATGCAGGCCAAAAACTTAGAAAAAACTTCTTAATCGAAGATCAAAATTTGAGCTTACAAGCATACAGTAGTAGTTAAGACTGTGGGCTTGAAAATGGTGACCAGGGAGACCCAAGAAAAATATCACAAGAGCAACAGAAGGCTAAGGACAGAAAGTAGATGAGCTTGTAAAACAAGATTCTGAATTATTTACCAATAGCCTTTTGTCATAAAACAAATCTAGAGTCCAAATATCTTTTCTTCAAATGAATGATAGCTTTTCAAATTTTCACTTGATTAATAAGCATATTTTTCCAAAGTTAATAGAAATATTTATTCATTTAAGCCATTTCCCCTTGTACATAACTTAGTAGAAATCACTTTAAATTCAATTATCTTTCCCTCCTAAATCTCAGCCAAAATGAGATTTGCAACAGCTTCAAAATGATTCCAAGATTATATCTTTCTACCATCTGGCTCAGCCATCGCTCTGATTTTAGCAGAATCAGTAGGTGAATCTGTTGTATTACTAGATTTTACACGCACCTGACAGAAGGTGGATTGAATATTACAGCACCTGATGGCAGGTAGAGAAAAAGAACTGGCAATTCTTTCAGTTCTGCCTACTCACAAACTCTAGACATAACAAGAATGTAATAGCTAAAATTATATTTATGCTAAAAGAGGTTCCTGAGTTTTCAAGTAATACAAGTGCAAGAAGAGTCCCTTAATTTGCCAAGAAGAAAATGTTTCAAAGTAGAATTAGCTTGCATTTCATTGGAAATATAATACACATAAGGTTACTGTAATTACATCTGATAATGAAATTATGTTTAGTAACTGTCAGTTTCAAAGCACCCAGCAGAGACTAGACTTTCAATAGGCACAAAATATTATTACACATTGACTACAAAGAACAATAATACAAATAAATACAAATGAACTCAAAATAATGTTTTATTACTCAAAGAGGTACCAGGGTCTGAGATTTCTTTCTATGTAAATGCCTGAAAATAAAAGAATACCACTTACATAGTCACTTAAATAGTTAAACATACATAGAATGAGATTTTGTAATTTGAAGATGTAATTTGTAAGATTGTAATTTTGAAGATGTAATTTGTAAGAATTACATTAACATGACATAAATACCTTTAGTAAAATGATTCATAAAATTTGGGGGAAATTTTTATATTTACACTCCTGTATGTAGTGCTTATTTGTTTATATTTAAAGAAGATGATCCTGGGATACACTCTTGAAATACATGTTTTCCTTTTCCTGCGGGAGCACTCAGAGATTAGTAGAAATTATAAAAAGAAATCATTTAAAAAAATGGTTAACACCACTCTTTGGTCTATATAGAAGTCATGTTTAATCTTACTCAGAAAGCAAAGATTGTACCGAGTACAATCATTCTCTTTATAACCACAGAAAGTATCTAATAATTATCAGTTGAGCTACAAGAGATTACTTCCAGAAGACAAACCTGATTTTAAGAAACAAACATAAAACACTAAAGACACTTAGCTATGTACTGTGAAGTACACATCCAGTCAACAAATAAGTGCCTACTAATTTGAAAGCACCATGTTAGACACAGTAGGAGAAACAAGAAGCAAAACATTCCGTTTCTATCACTGCTTACAAACTTAAGACCACTGTACAATAAGATTTAAAAAGCAACATGAAAGATTATGAACAAATATAAGTTAAAATACTTAATTAGTAATTTGAATAATAAGATCTGAGAAGAGGCTACACCCAACTCTTTTGAATGCAATTCCAGCATATGTAGCTGACGTCATGTTTACTACATGACGTCAATCAGATTCTTGACATTATTGTGATTTTTAAAAAAAGTAGCAGCACTGGGGTAGCAGAGTCTTATTATTCAGCCCCCTCAGCTGGAAAAGAGGGGAAAGGAAAGCCTGGGTAGAAAACTTGACTAAATGATCAATAAGGTCACTTCTTAGGCCCACAGTTCTTTCTTGATTTAAGAACATACAAAATCTGAATACACTGTAATACAGTGTGTGAAAACTGACATTGATAAAGTACTGTTGTCTAAGATAATGGTTTCCAAACTCCAGTGCACATCTAATAACATTTAATGACTGAATACCTTGTTAAACCACATAGATGCTTACAGACCATCGCAAACCTTTGGAATCAGAATCTAGACCGTAAAGGTGCAGTCAGGGCATTTGTATTAGAGCAGCTCCCCCAGGTGATTCTGAGGTACAGTGTGAGAATTAAGTGTTACATGATTAAATACACAACATCCATTGGCAAGGAAACCTGGGCTCAAATGCCAGCACCAACTAGTCTCCCTAACACTATTTCTAACCTTTAAAATGGGGGAAATGCCACCCATTTCTCAAGTAATTCCTATGAGGATTAAAGGTGATGAGACATATAAACTGTTTAGTACATTTAGTAAACATTCAATGAATTCAGTAAACAAACACTTAATAAGCTCTTACACACTACTAGAAGATGAAGAACATCTCATTAAATTGTTAAGTATTAATAAATATGGCAACTCTGTAATGGTGTTAGGAGAACATATAATTTGGGGAATCCATGCTAATCAGGAAAGTCTTCCTGAAGTGAGCTGAATGATGAGGAGGCAGTACCTGGATGAAAAGGAAAGGTACTGCCAATCAGAGAAAGTGTCATAACCAAAAGCCAGGTACCTAAGCACAACAGAGTGATTAGGAGAGAAAAAAATGCCAAAAAGCACGATGAAGATGAAGTTGCAAAGGCAGTCAGGGGAGCCAAACAGGCTGTTAAGGATTTTAGTTTCTCTTAAAAAACAATGAAAGCCACTGAAGGGTTTTAAATATGGAGACAACATGATTAGATCTGCATTTTAAAAATGTCACTCAGTCTGCTGTGGCAACCTGGGGAGTGGGGGTCACGGTAATGCAGGTAGACCATAATTCGGAGGCTAGTGACACTTCAGATAAGAGATGATGGTGGTTGGAATTGGATTACAAGTGGCAAAGATGAAGAGAGACAAGATATTCAAGAAGCAAAATCAACAGGACTTAATGAGAACTAGATAATGAGGCACAAGAGAGAGGAAGCTGTCACACTTCTATAGAAAAGAACTGATGATGAAGCTAGTCACTTAAACACAATAAGAGGACCTATTTTTCTTGGGAAATAAATCATGTGAGCATGAGTAGTTATTCCCAATTATAGGGTCGAATTGTACAGAAATATTCTGTTGTCTGGAAGCACAATATGCCTGTATATATTCCTCTGGTTGTTCATGGATCTTAGAGACAAAAGAACAGAATTCTGCATGTGTATAGTGGATCTGAACAGAATGAAGATCCTTAACTTCCATTACAATTTTTTTACAGTCCCCTGAAAGTGTCTTTTATGAGAACAGCTTACTATTGTCAAAAATTCTACCAAACCCAGCTGATATATAATTTTTAAGCTTTTCAAAATTAACATTTATACTCAAGAATAAGACTGGAAGCCAAACAAAAAGAGCCTGTAAATTTCCGAAGGTAGCTTCAAGCACCAGACTATGATAGAGTTTTACAGTGACAGGCTGTAAAACTATGTTAATTTTCCAGAATGGAGAGCATGTGAATGTCTCTTACAAAACTTCTTACTCACAGAATCCAATTTGTAAAACAAATCATCATACAGATAATTCTTGAATTTGATCTACAAAAAACCAGCTTGCAACGTACAAAATAAAACAGCTTGCAATTTACAACTCTTAAGTCACTACCGATACAGTTCCTTTAAGGCTTGAGTGGGGAGACTCCGAAAGAGTTGTAGGGACTGACTTCACCATATTGGTTTCCGTAATTACTAATCATAGGTATGAATTCAGTTGGATTCCCAAGAAGTTTTTGCAAGCTTTGTCGGTCTAAACCTTCCTCCAGCCTTTCTCTTCCGCTTAGAAAAACAGGAGCACAGAAGCCTCCGAAGGGGTTTTAGTCTTAACAAAACACCTGCCCCACCCACCTCAAACACAATACCTTCCCAGAGCTATATCTACTGTCAGAAAAGGACGCCGGGCGCTAACCCAGGTTATCAGACGTCGACCTCAGAAGTGAGGGGAGCTGTCTCACCCAGTCCCGAAGGAGTGTCCAATTTCCCAAAAGGGAACTAAGAGCTCCACAACGGAAACCCGAGCTCCCGGACCGGGAGGCTCTCCCCGCAGCAGACGGCTCCAGCCCCTGGTCTTCCGTCACTTCAAGGCCTTTTATGGGGACTCGAGCCTCTCGGAACCGCTCCCCGGAGCTCGCCGCTCGCCGAGCTAGGCTTCACGCGGGCGCCCACCACCCTGCCAGACCGGCCCTCGGCCCGTCACCTAGCAACGGTCGCCAGCACTCGGGGTCTTGGGAGGCCTAGCCCGGGCGCGGGTCCTTCCCCATTCCTTCCTCGCTGGCCTTGGCAGCCCAGGCAGGTGCGCGGCCGGAGAGGTCACTCGGTGCCCGGGGGCGGTCACTCACCTCTTCCCTTCTTCTCTCAGGAAGGGCGGTGCAGAGGCTCGTTTCCCCCGCCCCGCCAAACGTCTCCCGGTTGCTCCAGCTCAGCTTCAGCGTCCGGCGGAAGCTGTGGCTTACTCCATAGCTTTATCCACCCGCGCGCCCTCACAGGCTAGAGCAGGAGGTGGGAAGGGGGAGGGCAGGGGAGGGATTGGGGAGGAAGAAGAGTAAGGGATAAGAAAAAAGACCGAAAGACCGGCCGGCCTGGGCATTACGTCACTTCCTGCTGGTTCGGTAGGGGCGGGGCTGGAACTTCCTGGGCCGTCGCCCACCCCGCGATCCGACGGGGGCGGAGTTACGGGCCAGGGGAGGGGCCGGCGCGCGAGCTTCTGGCGATTCTTTCGACTCCGCTGTTCCGGAACCTTGGCAGCTAGAGCCTACCTCCCGGCCCAGGTCGAATTTCGTGAGCCACAGAGGTGGCTTCTGCCGGAAAAGAGAACGGGTAACCTCACAGATCCTAGCCGAATATACTGAAGGGGAGGGCCGCTGAGGGTAGAGGGTGGTTTAGACTACAAGCCTCAGGATTCTGGGGTCCGCCCCTTTCCAGGCCCCGCCCCTTTTCCGGCACACCTGCCCACCGTGGTCTGGGACTAAGAACCAGGACTTGGGCTTATATGAACTGCTGTTCTTGGGAAGTCAAAAAAAGCAGTGCTTCTCGAACTTTAACGTGCACACGAGTCATTTGGGGGTTTTGTTAAAGGCAGTTTGGATTCAGGAGGAGTCTGATGTTCTGCGTTTCTCATGAGCGCCCAGATCACGAGCCAGTGCTGTTGGTCCACAGGCTACACTTAGGACTAGAAGGGCTTGAAGTACTAGATGGCAAGTTACTTGAGTACGAGGACTACTTCTTCTAACCTACTTGTTTAACAGAGGTTAAAGACAGATGGTCCATGGGGAATACCCATGTCTCCACCACTGATAGTTTTCTAGTCCTCTCCACCCCACCCCACCCCAACCTGACTCCGTCCCTACCCCATCCATCACTCCTCCCCTCTAGTCTAACCCCTTTTCATTGATCAGCTTCCTCACTCCACTCCTATCTCCACACTGTCTAGAGTGTCTTGAGGTAATATTTAAAGGATAGATAGGCGGACAGCTTGTTACCAAAGGTATTTGAGGCTGATGGGATTTTATTGATCATTTTGTTATATACATCAGACTATTATGTAAAATCGGGCAACCTGTTTCCAGTTATTTATAGTCAAAGGAGAGAGATCGAATTCTTGAATTTTATTTTTTTAATTGTTTTATTGTTGTTCAAGCACAGTTGTCTGTTTTTACCCCCCACCCCCACCCCAGGCATCCCAACCTCCCTCCCCTGATTCCACCCCCTCTTGATTTTGTCCATGAGTTCTTTATAGTTGTTCCTTCCAAATTCTTGAATTTTAATTCAAAAAACCTAGAAACAATATTCTGGATGTTTCAAGTCATTCCCTTATCATTCTTCCATTTTTTTTTATTTAAAGAATTACTGGGGTGGAGGGGATAAGGAGTGACTTAACTGTATGGGTTTCTTTTTTTTGTATGTATGAGTTTATTTTTGAAGTGATGAAATGGTCTGCAATAATAATAGTGATGGTTGTACAACTTTGTGACTGCACTAAGAAAACACTGAATTGTACACTTTTTTACAAAGACTGAATTTTGTGGTCTGTCAGTTATGTCTCAATAAAATTTTACTGTCTCCAATTTAAAAATTACATATACACATTATAGAAAATTGGAAATACAAAAATTAAAACCCCCAAACCTTCTTTTATTACAAACCTACTTCCCAAAGTTTAGTAGTTTGAAGCTTATCCTTTCAGACCTTCCTTTCTATTTATTTACATATATTTGTGTGTAGTTTGAGAATTCCTTTTTACATAACTAGGATGATGGTAAACAAATTGTTCTGCTCAACTTGTTGAGTTTTTGTTTTTGTTTTGTTTTATGTAATGGTATCTTTTCATGCTATAAACCTTATTCTCCCTAATGGCTGCTTAATATGCCATAGTAACATTATGCCATAATTTATTTAACGATTCGTCAGGTGATGGACATTTTTACTGATTTCAGGTTTTCGTTGTTACTCACAAGCTGGTTTTTTTTTTTTTTTTCAAAAAGAATAGCTGGCTGATAAATAGATCGGTTTTATGAGCTCCTTGCCCTATATCTCATGAAGAGTTTATGCCACTGATCAGAAATGGAAAAAGAAGAAAGAAAAAGATCAAACCCTGGTGATCTGTAATAATCAAGACTCTAGTGAGTGTGTGTATTTCTTTTATTGTTATTTATTTATTTATTTTTGAAGAGAGGAAAAGGGAGGGGGAAAGAGAGGGAAAGAAACATCAATGTGTGGTTGCCTCTCACGTGGCCCCCACTGGGGACCTGGCCCACAACCCAGGCCAGAGCATTGAACCAGTGACCCTTTGGTTTGTAGCCTGTGCTCAGTCCACTGAGCTACACCAGCTAGGGTTGCATTTCTTTTAAATGTGTCCCGATATAATATCCTTCAAGATTAAGTGTGCCTAGAGTTAATCATGTAACATTAAGGGTTTATAAATTCACAGTATAATACATTTCATGTGAGTAAAGTACGTTACTAGGTTTTCTGTTTTTATTGGCAGACAAACATAGTGCAATCTTAGTAAATATATTATGGCTTACATAAGATGAGAGGAGTAGAAACTTAGGAAAGACAATGGCAGCAGATATGCCATTAAGAACATACAAAGACTGTTTTACTGGTTCTGATGCTGTTGATGTAGTATTAAGTCATCTTATGCAAAATATGTGCCTAAGTAGTAATGCTATGTTTCATCTTAGAGGAGTTGGTCTTTGCCAAGTTCTGATGAACCATAAAGTATTTGAACCAGTAGGAATAAAGCTACTCAAAAATGAGAAGAAATTGGAATTTGAAGTTTCAAACAATACTCTACAGGTTTCTAGGCAATAGATAATCTATGTTTTTTGCAAAAGAAAAAAGGATAATACAGAGAATGGGTCAACAGATAAAATATATGCCAAGGAATCTTTAAGGTTAGTGTTAATTAAAATACTGTAACGCATGTGCCGCGTTTAGAGGCTGGCAGAACAGTCATCATTGAGTTAAACTTGAATGTTATGCTTTCAGTTTTTCTTTTCAGAAGTCAGTAAAAAAAAAGCATGTAAAAATTAATCTATTTCAACTGATTTGTATTTCATGGATAAAAAAATGTTTACCTTTTTGGAAGTTATGTTTTCATACTAAAACTTTGGGAGAGAAGTGTCTTAGGAAGTTTCTCTGCTCTAACAAGTCAGGCACGAATGAAGTTCGCAGTTATCCACTGAAAATGATTCTTCTGCGATCCTCAAGCACAAAACAACCCCATCAGACCTATGAATAGATAAAATAATAAGAATACAACAATATAGACACTATCTAGTTTTATAAAATTAAATAATTAGCTGGCCAACAAGAAAATGTAAGCCATGTTTTGTTTGGAAAAATATAGCCCGTTAAAGGTATATAATTGGCAACACACCTCAACAAAATTCAGCTAAAGAAAGGATTGAGTTTCTCTATTTTTTTGAAAAATTCTATTTAGTACTTTCCAAGTAACTGATATAATCTATTTTTGAAAAAGGCCAACTCGTAGTTCCCAAGTAACTGAGAAACCTTCTTCATTTGAGTTGAGTTGAGCACTCTGCCTGCCTCGGGGAAAAGCAGTGCAATTACAGGGCCTCAGGCTTCATCACCAAATTGCATTTGCGCAACAGGAAAGGTTAAGATGAACCACCTTTGCCAGTATTTAATTTTTTCATAGTTGTTTGTTTCTTACTGAATATCATGAGTAATATTTCAAAAATATATGTGCGTTGTTTTGGAAATGTTAGGAGTTCTAAAGGTGTAGAACACAACCTTTCCCTCACCTCTGCAGGGTGGGTCTTAGGGGAGTGTCTGATATTGTTGCAGGAAAATGAAGCAACCAGATATCGAGGGTTTCTGGAGTACGAGGTTTATTAACGTGCACGGGTCAAGAGGAGTCAGTTTCCAAATTCTGAGCCCCGAACAAAGGATTCTTGGGATTTATATAGCCTTCGGAGTAGTAAAGCAAGATACAGAAGCAGGAATTCGGAAGTTAGTCCTAGCTACCAGGCGAAAATAAAGTACAAAGGCTAAATTCAAAGGTCAGTTTTTAACAGTAGGGGTGTTAATCTCAGTCCTAGCTAATGCACCGTTGTTTACTTATCCCCGACAGCCCCATTATTTTCCCCAGGGCGCCTGGGGCCTGGGCAAATAAAGGTTAAACAAAGGTTCTTCAAAGCTTCTTATATCAATATCAGCTAGAGCATTTCTGCTATTAATCTGTTTTCTTTCACTCCGTTTTCCTCAGTTAAAATAAAGTTTGAATCCTACCAAACATACTACATTTCTCCTCTGGGAAAAAAAAACAAAACAAAACGTGTACACTTAATGGAACAGCCTGTTTATTTGTGTTTATTTCCCACTAGTGTATGAGGTACTAGCAGCGGTGTCTGACCCGCAGCCCATGGGCCACGTGAGGCCCAGGATGGCTATGAATGTGACCCAACGCAAAATCATAAATTCACTTAAAACCTTTTTTTTTTGGCTCATCAGTTTTTGTTAGGGTTTGTGTGTTTAACATGTTGTCCAAGACAACTCTTCCACTTCCAGTGTGGTCCAGAGATGCCGAAGGTTGGACACCCCTGTAAGGAATAGTCCTGATATTATTCATTATATCCCCACAGAATGAGACAGCATCTAATTGTTAATGGGTGTGTAAACATTTACTGTATAAATGACTTGAGTTCAGCCTCACTTTATAAATATTTTCTTTTTATATATACATGCTATTCAGACATATGTATGTACATAAGACATATATGTGTGTGTGTATTCTCCCCTCAGTGTTGCATGGATTGCACACTCTTCACATGCAGAGTCTATCCCCTCTGTCACTCACTCAGCCCAATGGTCATCAAATATGAAGTGCCTCATAAATCTGACCCTAGTGATAGGATGTGTTGCCACAATATCCTTTTTGAGTGTAATTTTCCTAAATAGAACTAGATGTTCTGTTTATCATCTCTGTATTTGACTAGTATGTTCTAGACAGTACATTTCTCTGCTCCTTCTCCTTCAGGTCTTTGCTGAAATATTATCTTCCCAATGTTAGTTCCTACACATCTTATTTAAAAGTGCGATGTTATCCCCTAACACTACTTCTCTCGTTTGCTGCTTAATTTCTCTCCATAGAACTTACTCCTGACATGCTTCGTATTTTACTTTTTGTTTGTTTATTGTCTACCTCCCTATCCCCACTTGAATATAAGCTCCATTAAAGCAAGGATTTTTTTCCCCCCCTGGCTGGTGTGGCTCAGTGGATCGAGAGCAGGCCTGAGAACCAAAGGGTCACTGGTTCGATTCCCAGTCTAGGGCACATGCCCGAGTTGCGGGCCAGTTCCCCAGCAGGGGGTGCTTGGGAAGCAACCACACATTAATGTTTACCTTTCTCCCCCTCTAAAAAATGAATATTTTATTTTTTAGTATATTTTATTGATTATGCCATTACAGTTGTCTCATTTTTTCTCCCTCTTATCCCCCTCTGTCCTACACACCCTCTCTTCCAGCATGACTCCCCTTTAGTTCATGTCTATGGGTTGTACATATAAGTTCTTGGGCTTCTCCATTTTCTATACTGTTCTTAACCTCTCCCTATTTTTGTCCAGTCTACCAATTATTCTTCTTATTTCTTGTACCTTTTCCCACATTCTCCGCCCTCCTCCCCACTGATAACCCTCCATGGGATCTCCATTTCTATGTATGTTCCTGTTCTAGTTGTTACTTAGTTTGTTTTTGTTTTTTAGGTTGACTTGTTGATAGTTGTGAGATTGTTGTCATTTTACTGTTCATATTTCTGATCATGTTCTTAGATAAATCCCTTTAACATTTTATATAAGGGTTTGGTGATGATGAACTCCTTTAACTTGACCTTATTTGGGAATTATTTTACCTGCCCTTCCATTGTAAATGATGGCTTTGCTGTATAGAGTCATCTTGAATGCAGGTCTTTGCCTTTCATGACTTTGAGTACTTCTTTCCAGCCCCTTCTTTCCTGTAAGGTTTCTTTGGAGAAATTAGTTGATAGTCTTATGGGGGCTCCTTTGTAGGTAACCCTCTCCTTTTCTCTTGCTGCTTTTAAGATTCTCTCCTTATCTTTCATCTTAGGTAATTTACTTATGATGTGTCTCAGTGTGTTCCTCCTTGGGTCCAACTTGTTTGGGACTCTCTGAGCTTCCTGGACTTTCTGGAAATCTATTTCCTTTGCCAGATTGGGGAGGTTTCCCTTCATTATGTTTCAAGTAAGTTTTCAACTTCTTGCTCTTCCTCTTTTTCTGGAACCCCTATGATTCAGATGTTGGAACATTTAAAGTTGTCCCAGAGGTTTCTAAGCCTCCTCAATTTTTGAAGTCTTGTTTCTTCATTCTGTTCTGGTTGAATGTTTATTTCTTCCTTGTGTTACAAATTGATTTCCTGGTTTTCTTCATTTCTCTGTTGGTTCCCTGTACATTTTCCATTACTTCACTTTACATAGCCTTCACTTTTCCCTTTATTTTCCAACCATACTCAATCATTTCTGCAAGCACGTTGATTACTAGTGTTTTGAACTCTGCATCTGATAGGTTGGCTAGCTCCTCATTGAGTAGTTCTATTTTTTGAGCTTTGATCTGTTCTTTCATTTGCATCATATTATTTATCTTGGCGTACCTATTACGTTGTAAGCGGACAGCCTTAAGTATTCGCCAGGGTGGGGCAACCCCTGTTGTCGAGCTGCATGTGGGGGACGGGTCCAAGAGGAAACAATGCTGTTTGCTTGGCTCTCACCCTCCTTTCAGTCACTTCCCAAACTGTCCACAAGCAATTGGGCCCTTCTGGTGCTGATTCCCGTGTGGGTGGGTTTGTGTACGTTCTGGGACACTGTTGGCCTTTCCAACTCTCCTGTGAGGCTGGGAATTTCTCCCTCCACTGCAACCTGCAATTTTCACTCAGAGATTTTGAGGCTTTATTTCCCCTCGCTGGAACCCATAGTTGCTCAGTCTGTCTTGTTCCCCAGTTGTTCCTCCTGGCTTATCCACACACGAATGTGGGATGTCTGGTCTGCCAGCCACTGCCTCGCCCACCCAGTTCATTGCCTTTCTACACGTCCTTTAAACCCTGGCTGCCCATCTCTGCCTCTCCTACCAGGCGGGATGAACGTTTCTTCTTTAACTTTTTGGTTGTTGGACTTCCGTATAGTTCAATTTTCTGGCAGTTCTTATTGTTTTAAAATTTCTTGTTCTTTTGCCTGTGTGAGGAAGCAAAGCATATCTACCTGTGCCTTCATCTTGGTTGGAAGTCCAATAAAATCTTTTTTAAAAAAGCAGGGATTTTTGCCCATTTTACTTACTACATCGCTGGCACCTAGAACAGTACCTACCACAAAAATAGGTCTCAATAAATATTTGTTAAATAAATGAGTGTTCTGTCTTGATGCACTTGAATAAAGTTTTTTCCCCTATTTTTGGACTTATTCATAATGTTATGTTTCCTCCTGGTGACATGATATAATTTGTCTTCACTCTTTCCATCGGTGGCTATCTTTGCCTCTTTACTTAGAATGTGGCTGCTGAAGGCCCACTCATTTTTATGTATTTTTACAGCACCTGGTTCAGTGCTGTGCCCAAAGGTTGGTATTGAAAAATGTGTCCTGATTGGTTAGAGGCTATTTATGATCACAAGTCTTTACTAAAAAATTGTTAGTTTGATTTATAATGGCAAATAACTCACAGGTAGCAAACTGAGATGATTTTAGGAGCCAGGCAGATCAGCGTGCCAATGAATACTTAATTATCAAACATATAGGAAAAATATGCACTGCTGTTTTGCTTGAAATATATGGCCCACTCAGGCTGTTTTTCCTTTCCCCACTTAACACAGAGATATAAGTACAGGGAAATTGATTTGTATTGTAGCAAAACCAACAGGACAAACCATGAAAGTGGTAGCTGACACTCAGCTTCATGGGATACAATGGGGAACATTGGGGTTTGTGGTGAACTGGGAATGACATGCAGGTGCAAAGCACTACCCACAGCTTCCTGTCAGCTGACTGGTCAGGAATTCATTCAAGCCCAGTGTTATGAGATTTTTTTTTAAGAGAAACTTGAAACCAGAACTTTATATGAAATCTCCCATTTTCACATGAGTTAATTTTATTCAAAATGCTTATGAACAAACAAAAAAATCATGGCTATGGTACAAATTTAATACATAGGCTACTTGGCTTGGGATCTTTGCAAGAGTTTTACTATGACTGTTGCTTTTATAATTTTTCCTTCATTTAAAGAAAAACAAAATAGTAATTATGGTCTGATGATTAGGATAATGAAAACTTAACAGGAATGACCAGAAAAGTTAAGATTACCCTAATACTGTATTTTAATTTAAAACAATAAACTATAGTTATCTGTACTACTTTGAATAAAATTATAATTAGCAATCTCATATTCTCTCAGATATATAATTAATTTATTAGCATGACCAGTAGCTTTTTATATTTGTAATTAAATTATCATTGGCCTTAGAAGTTAGACAATATTACTATACAAGCAACATAACCAGAAAATAGAATCACTTTGCTCCTAACTGATGTCTATTTAAAGGTCATTCTTGAAAATAAAAATTGTAATTTAGAAAATTTAAATTATCCTAGCATTAAATTAATCCATCAAGTATACATATATAATATATATATCTTTTATTTTGTATTACTTAGAAATGGAAATTTTTATAATATTGCTTGAATGTGTGCTATTTCTTGATCTGGTAGTTACATTATTTCTCTTTTTAAAACATAGAAGATTTTTTGAAACAACAAACATTGTTACGTATTCTTCAATTGATTCACCTTCTATTTGTGGAAAATGTTTTGTAGCCAACTGTTAAAACACAAAATCTTCAATTAAATAAAGAAGGGGATCTTGTTATCTCAAACACTTGTCTAGATGGAGATGTTATTCCATGTGTCTGTGTACCTGGGTAAGTGACAGTTTTTATTGTCAAGTAATTTATAACTTAAGAGGCCTTTCACATATTTCACCTTTGGTATTTTAAGAGATGAGAATATATATATCCATATGTATAAACTAACACCATCTCTGTGTTATAAATTAGTCACTGTGAATTCTCACATGATCTAACAAAGAAAGTCCCTGGTTATGACCTGCAAGAAGATCTGGAGATTAGGGTTTTCATTCGGATTAATTCAGTCATGATTTCACAATCATCTTCTCCCTGTACCGGCGCTCAGTGTTTTCCAAAGTTCCATCATTTCCTTTTCATGGCCATAAATAACATCATCAGTTTCTACCAGTTTACTTATTCCTGCCCTAAAAGAATCCACAGTCTAGTAAGGGAGACATTTATGAAATGGAACATTACAGCCCGAGGAGAGAAGCCCTATCATAAAATCAGCCTTCTTCATGGGGAAGGGGTTCAGGAAACCTGATAACCTGAATGGCACTCTATTCTCTTTTCTTTGAGCTCTAAAATATTTGTCATTCCTACTGCTCAGAACTATTGATATAAGACTCTGGGTACTAGCAGGGATTCCAACAGAGAGAGCTGATACACTGCTTTTTTCCATGTGGTCCAAAGAAGAAAAGAACACCAGACTCTGAAGCTGAGGACCAGAAAGCATCAGACCCTGAGAAGAACTTGGTAATGAAACCTGTAAACCTATATAGTCAACTGTGGTCCTGTTTGCATATGACAGGTTTCCCTAATTCACAATAGGCAAACAAAAAAAAGACCCACACAAAGAGCTGAGCCTTCCCCAGCCTTTGAGTCAGGTAGAATATAGGGACATCAGAAAAACAAAAACAAAACAGGATTTCTTTGGATGCCTCTGAAGGAAACAGCAGCTAGTGCCTTTATAAGCTTCTAGGCAGAAAGGACAGATTACCTGCAACAGAAAAACAATCCAACTGTCATTAATGTTCTCTTCTACAACACTAGGATATGGAAGATAACGACTCACTAATTAGGGAAGATACACCATTCACCTGACAGGGCAGAAAAAAGAAGGAAGGAAAGGTGGGAGGATAAAGGAAGAGGGAAGAAGGAAAGATTCTTGAGGATTATCAAGAATTCATAGAGTATGTGAGAAAGGAGAGGGGAGGGGAGGGGAAGGGAGAGGAAGGAAAGAGAAAAGGGAAAGAAAAGAAAGAAAAAAACCCCCCAGAAACCCAAGATGGAGCTCTTACTAGTTTCTCTCTCATTTTGTACACATGCACGCGCACACACACACACACACATTAATAAAGGTCCAAGGAAAAAACATTAAGGGGCACTAATTGTCAAGGGTTAAGTAAATAGGAATCTATGAATGAGACAAAAACGAAATGTTAGGAGGGGAATTAGGTGATGTTGTGCCCATAAAACCAAGGAAATATACCATTTGAAGAAGGAGGATTCTGTGTAGCAGAAAATTAGGACTGCCACTTACTATCAGGAGCCAGTTAGTGAGAGCTGATTTAGCAGTTTGAGGGGCAGAAGCTGGGCTGCAGAGGGATGAAAAGGAATGAATGGATAAAGAAGTAAAGAGTGGATCTATGATAAGAAGGGGAAGAGAGAAACTGACCAATTATTGGGGCAATACTGAGACAAGCCAGAGATTTGAGCACACATCTACTGAGAACAACACAGCAGAATAAAAGGGATACTGAAGGAAAAAAGAAATGTCTGATGGAACTGGGTCCTGGAGGACACAGAAGGAAATGGGTTCAAGGGCACAGGACCAAGGGTTTGCCTGGAAGAGGAGCAGGGGGCTTGGAATAAAGGAGTATTGGAGGGGTAAGGAGTATTTTTTTTTAAGGAATTGCAAAACCACTGTTGGGAAGCTTTGCCTTAATATTTCTGTGGCATAAAACTACAATTTGTGAATGTAAACAAACCTCTGGTGGTTTTCTCAAACTACCATACTTACACTTCAGGGGCAGGTTAGCCTCCAAGCATTGTAAGTGTAATCATGCTTAAAATGTTGAGGAAGGTGGTCAAGGGTACAAAGTTATTTATAAATTAGTCCTTGGGATGTAATGTACAGCATGGTGACTATAGTTAATAATACTATACACTATATGTTCAGAAGTTGCAAAGAGAAATCTTCAAAAACATGTTAGGCAAGTTTTTAACTTTAAAAGGAAATGCTGCTGAAGTCGTGCTATTAGCGATCTGGTATATTTAATATCTTTAGAATTTTTTTTACAGAAAAGGAACATTTCATACGTGAGTTCTCGAAAAACATGCATTTTCTTTAGCATATGTGATTTTTAAGCTACCCCCATAGGCTACTATAACTTAAACACCGTGAATCATTTAAATAGGGTGAGACTTAGAAAGGATTTTAAAATCTACAAACTTAAAATTCATGAATCTCTAAAACCATGATTTTGCCTTCTCTAATTCTTTAGTCTAGAGTATTTTACGGCTTTTCTTCTTTCTTCCCTCCTTTCCTTTCTCCTCCTCCCGCCCTCCCTCCCTCCTTCCTCTCTCCCCCGCAACCCTTCTCTCTCAACTGGAGGTATGTGTGGGGGAAAGTCTCCTTACTAGGAAAATTGCTATTTAATGTTCTGTGTAAATCGGGTGGGGAATTTCTCCCCATCACCATGAATGGCTGGCATTTTGAGGAGTGCATTAAGTCTATTACAGTGTCCTTGTATCTGGTGATTAGAAGACTACATATAACCTGAAGTAAACATCTTCTCTCTGAGCCTCAGTTTTTCTTTTAATCTCTAGAGTAAAAATATACACTCATAGGTTTGTATTTATAAGACCAGAAATATCAAAGGCATGAGGGAGAGCAGGTAGGATGGCAGACAGTAAGAGAATGGGCTCTGGAGTTGGAGATCTGGATTTACTAGTGACCTATTTGCGTTCAGAAAGGAAAATGTTAGCAAATGAGTACCCTAGATTAAGGTAAAATCCAATGTAGAAATAGTAGAATTACTAGAAGTTAGGGTGGTTCGGCAATGCTTGAAATGGTTTATTGCTATTTAAATGGAATGACATTTCCTAATGGGGCTTATTTTCATCACATATACCACTATTCAATTAAACTTGTTTACAAAGAAAAAAAAATGCCTTCCACTGAATGGTTTTGAAGGTTGAGGCATTACTAACCCAGAAGTGCCACTCCACCTAGTGACAGCTCCATAAATTACAGTTATTAGGCTTAAATAGAATTCCCAAAGGTGTTGTCATTCAATTTTAGGCTAAACCTTTTGAAGGACTTATTATGTGCAAACCATTTTCCCCTGTATAAATAAAATCCAGCTCTGCTCATTGTACAGCCTACCTCCTGATACAATATTTATAAATTTCTATGAGAACTGACAGCCTGATTCATAGTGCTTATTACTGCTTAGTCTTAGGTTATTCATTCTCAGGCACTATCCAGGTAAAAAGGTTTTCTAACTCCAAGAAATAAGTGTTCAGACAACACTTCTCTCCCATTTATATACATGATGTTCAAGATTGAAAACCATTCTTGAGACTTTTTTCCCTGGAAATCTTTCCTCCCACATGCTCTACAAGTGGAATTGGAGGTGCTTTTACTATACGATTGCTTCTGTGCCAGGAAGATTGTGAACACAAAACGCGGAAAGTTGGTCTTGTAGCTCCAACTCTGTCACCTGACAATTCTGTCATCGGTGACACTATTAGGCAACTCTTTGTCGTCTGATTCTCTCACAGGTGTACAATTCAATAGTTGATCTATGCCAACACTCCACTTCTGGCTAGAGCCAGCCATTTCATGCAGAACCACTTATAAACCAGGTTTGAATTCTCCCTCGGTGGTATTAGGGAACCTCCAGGACATCACAGACGTGAGTTGAGGGAAAGGTAAATAGTGCAGTATGAGTAAGTACTCTCAGCAAGATCATGCGATTGACTTGTCCAACCTGAGTCCCAACTTGTGTATACCACTTCCGCTTGAGCACAGCTTGCTGCTGCACATGCCTGACTGACAGTGGGAAGGGACATGACCTCGGAGCAAAACTGAGGGCAGCATTTCCAGTTGTTCAGTTTGCATAAAAATATGGCCGGAAATAATGGCTAATGGGTTAACTGAAGGACCCCAGATATGACAACTAAAGACAAGAAACCTGGGAACTAGAAGCTTTAGGAAAGAAGCATATGAATGGGCATCTCAGAGTAAGCCACAAGTGCAAGGATATTTGTGTTCTGAGAGCTCATCAGAGTCCTCTTCTACAAAAAGGGCTCTAGGTGGACAGCATAGCCAACCGATACTGTGGATATTAATCAGCCTCTTTCCCCAGCCATCCCAGTCCTTGCCGAATTGTGCTACATTCTGGGAAAATTCTCTCAGCTTTCTGTTTTTCAGTCTAGTAGTGTCTGTTCTGCTATTCAACGCACCAATTGAGCATAAGTAATCCCTACTTTCAGTTTCTACAATCTATCTTTGTTACAGTGTAAATGAATGCAGGTATGACTTCCTGCTGCTATGAACGCCAAACTTGTGAGACAGGTGCTAATGTGAAGGAAAATGGTTTATTCAGATGCCAGTCACCTGGAACATGGAGGACTCGTGTCTCAATACCTATGTCCACATTTCAGTGCAGGCAGAGGTTTTTATAAGGAGCCAGAGGGGAAGCAGAAGAAAGAGATCAAGGGAGGGGGTTAAAAAGCTCTCAACGTGCAGATGGGTCTAGTCCATTCCAATAAGACAAGTGACGGTCCAGTGTGCACCATCCTGGTTTAGTCACCCTGGCTCCACGTCATCCTGGCTCCAAAGGCAAACAGTCAGCACATGGCTTGGAGCTTGGATGCCAGAAGGTCAGAGACTGTATCTTTTGAAGTTAGTGCCTAGGACCCTTATACAAACATGCTATTTATCTACAGGCTACTTATTAGAGTCAGCATTTACAGAAACAATGTCAAAAGAACGATGGGGTGGGTTACAATTCCCCACTGTTACAACAGCAACCTATTGTTGTAATACATCCAATTCCATCACCAGTCTCTTAGAGAATATTACTTATTACTTGTAAAGTTCCTTTTGCTTATTTTACTCCCTAGGGGTTCACTATTGTTTGTTGGCGTTGGTGCCTCTCTAGTGGTGTTAAGCACCCCTCAAATAAAAATAAGTCAGCACACGTACCTAGGTTGCGGGTTTGATCCCCAGTCGGGGTACATGTGGGAAGCAACCGATCGATATTTCTCTCTCACATCAATGTTTCTCTCTCTCTCCCTCTCCCTTCCTATGTCTAAAAATCAATGGAAATATCCTTGGGTGAAGTTTTTTTTCATGAATTTTTGTGGTCTCAAAAAGGAATACTAGGAGACCTACACTGTATACAGAAATTACAGTGTACTGTAGTAAGGACATGAACACACATGCATCATTCTCAGTAGAACATAACAGAAGACTTCAGGTGAGGGTATGTTTTGGGAGTGCAGCTTTGAGGAATGCCCTCACAGGTAAACATCTGGTTGGTAATGACAGTATTCTGTCTGTCTGTCTCAGATGAGATACTAACAAGTCAAGGAAAACCCTGTAAATGGGGGCTTATCGTTTTACCTCTAACCACATCACCTTGAAATTCTAGCACTCTTACAATGTATGGTTGCAAAAGCTTCTTTTCTACCACCAGCATCTTTCTGCTACACTGTTCACAAATGACAATAACTGGGTATCAGACAAACACACTCCATCTACAACTCTGTAATAATAACCAACCTAGGTCTAGGAAGGAGCAACCTGGCCCTAACCCAACATAATCCAATATATAATTGTTGTACACAGCTCAACATCTGTCTCTTCACATTAATTTTCCTTTGGGAATCTTCCTTCTTTCACTGTAAGTGGTCTTAATAAGACTGTCAAAGCCCCTAAAGCTATAGGGTAGATGCATGATCCTAACTTGAGAAAAATGATTGTTGGAATTTGAATATTGAGTATAAGGCCAAACAGAAAATACAGAAGCTGAGCTATTTTGATGGCAGGGCTCTATATGGATTGTCCCCTAGTTTATATAACCTAGATGCCTAAGTTTATCTGGTTTACACTCTTAAGGCTGTTGGTCTAGCTTTTTCTTTTCTTTTTTTTTTTTAAGGATTATTTATTTATTTTTAGAGAGAGAGGAAGGGAGCGAGGAAGAGAGGGAGAGAAACACTGATACAAGACAGAAACATCAATCGGTTGCCTCTCAAATACCCTGAACCGGGACCTGGCCTGCAACCCAGCCCTGTGCCCTGACTGGAAATTGAACCAGCCACCTTTCAGTTTGCAGGACGACACCCAATCCACTGAGCCACACAGTCAGGGTGGCCTAGCTTTTTCACAGATTTTATGAGCTGCTCTTTGTCCTGCAGATAAATGCTGTTTTGCTTAGGATAGCCCTAAGGAGTTTTTACTGTCTGCAATCAAAGGAGCCTACCTGCCCCCTTTGTTAATGTCACTGTATGTCGTTTCCCTAAATTGAACAGCCATAGCCTTTGACACCTTACATACTGTACATTACATAAGAATTTTTAAAACTAAACACTAGCATTTGTATAAAGTTTTTGAACAACCCAAGTTAACTTCAAATTTAGTTTCCTCTCAAAAAAATGGTGCGGTATTTTTATGAGTGAAATAGTACATTTCTGCCAACAGAGTAGTGACCAAAAACACTTCAGTAAATAGGTTTTAGTCTCTGCCCTTTCAAACGTACTCTAAGTAAAAAATAAACATGAAACCCATATGACTGGTCTTTCCAACTTTAGTATATGCAAATAAAAGGACAACTTTAAAGTAAAATATTTGGTTCTAAGAGAGAGAGAAATCCTATCAGACTGAAAGCACTGGCCAATTCTGAGTCAAAGTCACACAAAATTACCTCAGAAAGAAAACTGACTAGTGAGACAGTTAAGTTTCTGCTTTCAGCTATGAAGAATGAAACTTAAAATGCATTCACTCTTCCATTTTCTAATGTAAGATAACCTACTCTCAGAAACAACATAAGCATTGTTACAGTAGTCTAGCTCCTAGATGAAAATATATCGGCCAAGTTACAGTTCACTTAATAATCTACCTTAGAAACCTTTGAAAATTAGCCATGGATCAAAGTATTTACATAAGTTCAAGTCTTTATCTTAAGATAAAAGGGAGCACAGGCCCTTAACCTCCTTTAAAAAGAACATTTAAATTAAACCTTTGTTGCAACCAGTCAAAACTTTCATTCAGAAATGTTATTTAAATATCAAATTTCTCTTCACAGACGCTATGCCCATTTTCTTCATAATCTTCTCTTGTTACCACCATATCTTCAAAATCATCATTCTCTGATATCAATTTTCCACCTTCCCAGGAGTAAGTAATAGGGCTAAAAATAAAGATAAAATAAATGAATCCAGATGATCTTATAGAACTAAAAAGCCAAAAAAAAGTGTTAATAACTAAAATGTAGCAATCGCTACCCAACAGAAAATCACTTGAAGTATACAAATAAGCATAAACTTCATAGGACTAAAGCAAACTAGGAAAGAACCTTGGTCAACACTACAAGTAAGTGTTCTTTTGACTTTTTCCCCTGTGCCCTGAATTCTAATAAAAAACAAGACAATAAGCAAAAGATCGAAAATGTATAAAACCAAAAACACTGTCATAACTGAGTCTAACTTTTCTGTATGTGGCAAAGATATGTCATCTCATTAATTCACACAGCAACCCATGAAATACCTATTATAATTCCCATATTATAGATTTAAAAAATGAGGTTTGTAGAGATTAAGTCTGGAACTAGGATTTAACCTGGAACTGTCTTCACACAGCCTGTGCCTTTGCTGCTACACTTTGTTGCCTCTAATAAATGAGGCATTTGGAAAACACAGGGCATGATAAACAGTTACATGGGAGGACGTGGACAGTAAAACTAGAGCATGGTAAACATTTATTTGGCTCTATTTACAAGTAAGTTTGTACTTTGTGTTATGACTCAATTATATTTCTACTCTCCTTCTATCCCCAATTCAGTTTCAAATCTAAAAAATGAGAAAGAAAAAAGCTAAATGTTTTCCTTATTGTACTTACTGAATTTCCTAACCTTAGGAAACACACACACAGCCTATCCAGAATGCAGTATGAAGAGACATTTATTGAAGAAGATGAAAGATAAAAGAAACATTGTACATTGTCATAGGACAATCATGTTTCGGTCCCCTTCAAAGTTGGCACCTTGGAACCTCACATGGTTCTCCCAATTGCCATCAGCTGCCCTGTTGTATATTCCTGAATCTCACTGACAGTCTGAAATCTCTTCCCTTTCAAAGGTGATTTTAGTTTTGGGAAAAGCCAGAAGCCACAGGGCACCAAATCTGGGCTGTCAGAGGGGCTGAGTCACCTGGGTGATTTAATGTTTCACTAAAAAACTCTGTACTACATGTGATGCATGAGCAGGCATGTTTTCAAGATGAAGCTGCCAATCACCAGATGCCCATAGCTGCAGCCTTCTGAATCATCCCAGTAGTTTTCCATGGAGAAGTGTTCAAGTTTAATGCCAAATTTGATGCAGATTTGTTGCTCTACTCACTCATTTATTTTCAATGTGATGGCTACACAGTATACATGCTCACTCAATGGCATCTACTGCCCCCACTGACTAGTACAATGAAGCTGTTATTGTTCACACATGCACATTTTAGTCCACTCTCCTTGGCTGCCAGGTTACATCAATGTCATGCAAACCATTCTGGCTATATTAATAATGGCTGGACTTTTTCTGGACAGACTATACACACACGTGTGTGTGTGTGTGTGTGTGTGTGTGTGTGCAATAGATGTGCAATAAAGATTTGATGAATAAAGAATAAAACTACTTTTGTGTATTCCTTGGCCTGTAATATGTGCACAACTTACATTTAAAATGCAGGATAAAAATTCAATATGCTTCATACTCTTCTACACAGAGTGTATGAACATTAATGCTGATAAAAACATTTCAATATCTAGTGGTTATTTATTCTTTTAACTGATAGTACAAAACTAAGTGATCAGATGAGGGCCTTCTCTTAACTGCTACAGATTTTTCAAAATTTTAGTTTAGCTTTAAAACAAAATTCTAAAATTAAGCCAGGGTTGTGGGGTCTTATTTGCAACTCTGCCACTTAAGACTTGGGAGAAAGTGGTTATTTAGAGCTCCTGCCTCAATTAAAGAGCACGGGGTTTTGGTCTGCTCACCACTATTAACTCACTGTAAAGTCTTTGCCAACTCATGAGCCCTTGTTTCTTTATTTACAAAGTAAGAACGTTGAACAGGATGACATGTAAGCCTTTCTTACAGCTCTAAAATTTTACGTTTTTTTTTAAACCAAGAAAAGTGGAAATTAAATCTGCTTTGTCTCATAAAACACGATAGAGGAATATAAAAGTTTGGGGTGTTTTTGGTGAGAACACACTTTATAGGGTGTTACCCCCCCTCCCAGCAGTGCCTGGACCCCCCCTGGGGTGGTGGCTGCAGAGATGACACCCCGATCTGGAGTGCAACCTGTTCAGGGATGCGGCTGGGCTCAGAGCGACGGGTTTGGCTGCTGCTGCACCCAGCCGTGTAATGAGCCCATATAACACAATTTTGAATTTAAGAAAAACTAATTAAATGTAAAAGTTAATTCAGAAATATTTTAAATTATCTTAAAACATTTCAAAACAACTTATGAATTGACATAACTTAATGAGTCAATTCTTAAATTTCTCTAGTTGACACTCTCGAGAAATGACACACTTCAGATACCCAAATAGATAATAACCTGTTTTGCTTGTAAAAATCTCTTAAGAGTGAGGACTGACTTTACTATAGGGAAGTGATCCCCTGTTAACCGAGTGCCCATAATGTACCAACCATTACATAATGGTGGGCACTTTGCATACATCATCCTATTGAACCCATTGATATGGCAGGTTTATTACGTGTCAACGTTTGGGAAAAGGAAAATGAGGGTCCCAGAGGTGAAATAAACCTGCCAACGTGGTAGAACCAAGCTTGAAACTCGTCTGCCTATAGGCAGACCACTTCATTTACACAACGTCCATGTTGTGTTTCTATCACACATGAGCCAACACTTACTTTTCAGGCAGCACAACAGAAACATCATAATCTGTGGGAGTGAGACATCGAACTTCTGAGTAAACCCGGTCCCGAAATCCTGGGAAAAGGGAATTTCCTCCTGTCAAAACAATGTTCTTAAAAAAATGTGGCTGCATTTCTGGAAGAAAAAAAAAGGAGAAAGGAAAGAAAAAAAGCATTAGAAAATCTGTTTACTTATCTTTCTGGAATGGCAAGGATCAGGGCTTAGGTTAAAGTAATTAAGGATTATAGTTACTGGTTGGGAGACCACTTAATTTTGTTATTACCACATAAATGATAATTTTTAAGATAATTTTTAATTTTGCAATGAAGTTATAGCTTATACAAATAAGCACGTTAACCAAAATATCTATGACCTCACAGATATTTATAAGAAAGGCTATTGAACTATGGGCTACTTATTATATTATACAACTATACATAAATCAGTAACATTTTAGTAGTGAACATTTGATAATTACAATTATTCTTCCCCAAAATGCGTGGAGTGTTTGTGTAGGAGACTGTGAGTCAGTATAAGGATGAAAAGGAGTTCCTTTAAGACATTTTAAATGGGAATCCAAATTTCCAAGTTATCTCACTGAGACAGTATTTAAGTACTGTGCAATACTTACATTTGATAGTGAAAAATACTCATAATCTATAATGATATTTAAAGAATATTTAACTCATTAAAGTTACACGATGGCAAACTTTAACTGCCATATGGTTAGCCAGTATTAAAAGCCGACTGAGCACCCATGGGAAATTTATCAGGAATTATTACAATAATAAGTACTGACCATCCCACCTCTCAAAACAAGGAATGAGTTCCCATATACTTGACATTTAATCACCTGGCATGACATTAAAATGCTGTATATATCATGACTGTAACTTTAATATAAAATTGAAATTAATATGAATATATAGTTGTGAAATAATTATATTAAGGTGTTGGCAATTATGTGCTTTCTTCCTTTCTTCATTGTTCTCTCTCTATATATACATATATATGTATATATATGTGTGTACATATACATATACACACACACATAAATAGGAGGAAAGGATATTGCCTGTTCTAGATTGTCTCCATTGCCTAATGTTTCTTATGAACTAGGAAGACATTTCCAAGATATAAAAGTAGTTTAACACTCTAGAACATTAGTTAAATCATGCTTCAGGAGAACCTAGACATCACTACAAAGTACCATACTTTACTCTCATTAAAATTAACTTCCTATGTATCAACCCAAATATAGCAGAAAGAATAAACCAGTCCTACCAATAGCAGAAGACCATTAAATTGCTAAGTTATAAAGTCCTATTCTATAATAATTTGGTTGAAGTTAAAACTTTTTCTAAAATGGATATGACAATTTAATATTAATGGAGAGATGAACTCCAAGTTTAAGTGGATAGTAATGACTTCTATATCAGATTTATAATCTAGGGCCAATAATTACTCAAGTACATTATTGGAGCTGGAAATCTCTACAAATCAAATAGACTTGCCACTTGCTGAAACTATTTAGAAAAAAGAAATCACTTCTCTAGGTCTCACTGAGCTTATGGTGTTTTAAAAATATCATTGCTACTCAATATTTTAACTACGTACCTTCGGGTAAGTTCTGAATTGAATAGACAATAGCTTCTGGAATTCCCATTTCTTGAATGCCTATATCAGAAGGATTAAAAAGTATTTCTGGAACAGCAAATCTTTCATTGGTCAGACGAAGAATTTGTTCCCCAGATTTATATTTTCCACTTAACACCATCTCTTCCCTTGGCTTAAAGAGAAATAAGATAAAACATTTAAGCTACATTATCTGGCTTGCCTGACTAATAACATTTAGTAATATGTAATACTAATACATGAACATGTTTTTGGAAGGTTCAGAATACTCAAAAGTTAGGAAAAAAATGGTCTTTTCTCCTGTTGCCTACAGTACATAAGTAAATAATTATTAAGTCTAACACAGCTATTTCCCCAAAGATAATCTGGCTTTATTACACACATTTGAAAACAGAAAGAAAAGAACAGATGGGTGGGAACTTTATAATCTACCTATAATACTAGACTGATTTTGGTTTCTGAGAACAAAGAATGTACTCTCAATAAAAAGCACTCTCTCATCTTTCCTCCACTATCCACTTTCACTCCCCTAAGTTAGCTGCTTACTGAATACTGTGGTCCCATTCCATCAGGATTTTCCCTTTCCCTTGTGCGAAAAGCCTGTAAAATTTATTGTTTATCCAATCTCTATTAAAAAATCTGTTTCTGGCCCTGGCTGGTGTGGCTTGGCGGGCCAGGTGCCCAGCTGGGAGGATGTAAGAGGCAGCTGATTGATGTTTTTCTCCTCCTCTTTCTCCCTCCATTTCCCCCCTGGAAACATAATAAATAAAATCTTTATAAAAATCTGTTTCCAGCCCTGGCTTATGTGGCTCAGTAGATCGAGTGCCAGCTTGTGAACCAAGGGGTCGCCGATTCAATTTTTAGTTGGGGCACATGCCAGGGTTGCAGGCTGGGTCCCCAGTTTGGGGTGCACGAGAGCCAACCGCATATTGATATTTCTCTCTCCCTTCCCCTCAGTCTAAAAATGAAATAAATAAAATCACTTAAAAATCTGTTTCCAAATAATTTAAGCAAATATATAGACATTATCAGTGAAATTCACATTATTTATTTCCTGTTAACCCACCCATCTGTGAGCTATGTTCCTGAAGGGGCCAGAAAAAAAATCATTGCCTTTTACAACATTCTACATAATTAAAGTAATATTCCCTCTCACCCTGGCCAGGGTAGCTCAGTTGGTTGGAGCACTGTCCCATACACCAAAAGGTCGTAGGTTTGATTCCTGACAGGGCACATACCCAGGTTGTGGGTTCCATCCCCAGTTAGGGCATATATAAGAAGGTAACCAATCAATGCCTGTCTGTCTGTTTCTCTCTCTCTTTCCCCCTTCCTCTCTCTGTAAAAGCAATGAAAAAAATGTCCTTGGGTGGGGATTAAAAAAATTTTTAAATAATAATATGCCCTCTCAGTTTTACTAAGAATCATCAGCTTTTCTACATTCAGTTGTAGACAACTGAATGATTCACCTCATTCGACTAATATATGTAATTTTCCTCCCATAACAGAGTATATCCTAATCCTTTATATGGGTATGAAAATACTTAAAATACATGAAAAACATCAATAATTTATTGGTACAGTGTATTATATGTAAAGAATATTATATTAAGCACTATACTGTATACCTGAAACTAAGACAACATGATATTGAATGTAAACTGTAATTAAAAAGCAAAATTAAAAACAGTATTATGGATTTTTTAATATAATCAGTCATTTCCTCTCTGTTCACATTACAGCTTCCTCAGAGAGGCTTTTTCTGACTCCCAAATAAAAGGCGCCTCCATTATTCTCTACTATTGCTCTATGTATTGTCCTTCATAGACTGTATCGTACACTCACCGATACACTACATAGCATAGCATAGCACTAATACACAATGAGTATTCAATGAACACTTGAACAGTGGCATGTAAGCCAACAAACTTTTGTTATCATTTGGAAATTCCAAATGAAATTCCATTTTTAATCCTAAAAATTAAACAATATTCACAACACTATAGGAAGAGCAAGGAAAACTGCAGAACACTTTGAACCCAATTAAACTATTGTTACACTAGCAAAGAATGTTATTTCTTCACAGATAAAGTATTATTCTTTCTCAGGTAAAATGAAAAATATTTACTAATCATCAGAGAAATGCAAATTGAAACCACAAGATCCCATCTCACACCTGTCAGAATGTCTATCATCAATAAATCAACAAACAAGTGCTCACAAGGATGTGGAGGAAGGGGAACTCTTTTGCATTGTTGGTGGGAGTGCTGATTGGTGCACTCACTGTGGAAAGCAGTATGGGGATACCTCAGAAAATTAAAGGTGGATCTGCCTTTTGATCCAGGGATCCCACTCCTGGGAATATATCCAAAGGAACCCAAAACACCAATCTGAAAGAAAATAAGCACCCCTATGTTCATTGCAGCGTTATTTACAATAGCCAAGATACGGAAGCAGACCAAGTGTCCATCAGCAGATGAGTGGATAAAACAACTATGGGACATTTACTCAGTAGAATCCTACTAGGCTATAAAACAGAAAATTTTACCCTTTGCTACAGTATGGATGGACCTGGAGAACATTATGCTAAGTGAAATAAGCTAGTCAGTGAAAGATAAAATACCACATGATTTCACTCATATGTGGAATCTAATGAACAAGCAAAGCAGACACAAAAATAGATGGAGAACAGATGACAGCTAGTGGGATTGGCGGGACTGAGCAAAAACAAAAAAAGACTCATGGATATGGACAACAGTGTGATGATTGCTTGGGGTAGGTGGGTATAAGGAAACTAAAAGACAATGTAAAAAAAATAACAACAGATTAAATTTAAAAAATAATTAAAGAAAAATATTTACTATAAGTTTACAATTCATTTAAAAGTGATATTGGCTTGAGTTGAAAGGACGTAACTCATTTTGTCAACACTCAAAATAACCTCAGACAGATGCAGACTTGGGGAATTTCAGCTGATAAAACATTAGAGGTTATCTAGTCCATAGCCTTGATTTTATATAGAAGAGAATCATGTGACTTACCCAGGATCAAATATCTAACTAGGGGAAAGAGCCAAAACTAAACATTCTTGTTGAATGTTAGCTCTAAAGTCATTATGGCTTTAGAGCTAACATTCAACAAGAATATTTAGTATGTAATCTGGAACTACACAGAATTTCTGATTTTATGAGTACAATTCCAAAAGAGATTTTTACTGCAGACACAGTCAGAGGAATTTATAAGGACTGCTGGGAGTTGCTATTTTGGTCAATGTAGGCCGTGGTCACTGCACAGCCCTCATAAACCTCATTCTGGTACCATGAGAGAAATGATCAGTTCAAATTACAATGGCTCTGCAGAAAGTGGTAATCTTAATGATGAAAGCTACTTTCAATTCAGGTCAGTCAAGTGCATTCCACTTTAGTAGGTATCCTCTTTCTGATAAGAGATAAAACTGGAATTCCTATCAGTTGTAATCAGCAATATTATAAACCTTATTGTTCTTGTTACTATCATTATTACTAGAAAATCAAGTTGTAACCTTTCCCCAAGTATTTAAAAATATTCTTGAATAAACTATCAAGGTCCAAATTTTAACAATAGCCTAAATGTAACAGCTCTCAAATTTTTCTTTGTATTATGTAATATTGCTTTTCTAATTTCATAAATACTTATCAGCTCTCATCAAAGTTGTTACATTATCAGGAAACAATGCAAACGAGTTAATCAAATATTAAATTCAAAGTAATACATTTTAGGAGTATTCCTAACATGCATAAAATATGACTTTCTAAATTTTAAAAATTATTAAGATGTATGAGTGATTCAACATGTTCTGTGAATAATGTATAAATTTTAACACTCACTGACAAAGTAAAGATTAAACCATTCTTTTTTAAATAAACATTCAGTGTGACACTCCGCCATCTGGCAGAAGTCCAGTCTGACTGACTCCGTTCATTCAACTGATATTAAAGTACACAAGGAAAAAGAAATCTGTACAGAGTTAATGAAGTGCAGTCTGTAACAAAATGTGATGTGGCTTCTGCCTTTTCTCTCCGAAGATAATGCGTAAAACAATGGTCAACTGTAACAACCACACCTCCACTGGCTCGCTGTGTAAGGTGCAGGTTTGGGAAAACAAGGCTCAGGATTTGGCAAGGAGGAAATTGGCATTGTTTAGCAGAGATAATGGCTAAAAAACTGACAGGCTGTCACTTGCAGGGCAGGAGAGAAATACATTTTTAAAAAACAGATTTCCAAAACCAGTTGGCAGACCAATCATCTGGAAAAGACTTTTTCTTTTTTTAAGATTAAGTAAGTTTGCAAACTCAGGCACTAAGCATTTCCAGGGACAGGAGCCGAGAACATGAATATGGTCCATAAGTTTGTTTTTTTTTTAATCACTGGAGTGTTTTAATCAGCTATAATATATAAGGATGATCAAATGTGCCCAATGAGAAAGCAGACTGACAGCTTCAAGTTTGGAGCAGTCTATAAGGATAAAAAACACACCTTCCATAAGCTACATTGGACTTGGGCTTCCAGTTTCTCTTCCTAGTTCATGTCTTCCAGGCAACCTGATCCTGGTTCTAATGTCCACTTCTGAAAGCCACCCTAGGTCCCCCACCAGGATCTGCTTCTAAGAACATTATAGGATGATTTCAATTTTATAAGGCACTGGGTAGCCTTCTCTGAACTCTGATTTGTATTGCCCCTCGATAACCTGGCCAAAAAAACCTATTTTTACATTTCAGGCATGTAAAGGAGTACAAATAATTATATAAAATCCATGTATCTATCAACTAGTTTAATGTAATTTTACAGATAAATTAACACTCCTCTTTTAATTTAATCATTCATATCCACAGTTTTATATTTTTACTTCATATTTCTATAGTCCTAAACAACAAATTATTATTCTGCATAGCCTGAAACTACATATCCTTCTAAAACTTACTTTTAGACATATTTCTGAGACTTATCCATGATGATCTTATAGTTCTACTTCATTTTCACTACTGCTTATTTTATAATATAAATTTACCAAAATTTATTTATTCTACCATTAGTTGATTTTTTAAATGTTAACTTAGTTTTATACACTGGCAAATATTATAATTTTTTAAATTTATAACTTTTAAAAATGGTTTTCAATTACAGTTTACAGTAAGCATTAATTTGTATTAGTTTCTGGTGTACAGGATAGTGGTTAGACAATCATATTTTACAAAGTGCTCCTCCTGATGCTTTGAGTACCCACCTTGATATTTCCAAATTTTCACTCTTTTAAATAGAGTGCAATGAACATTACCATAAATGTCTCCTTGTGCAATATGCTTCCATTTCTAACCAGAGTTTTTTAACTTCCAACAGTCTTTACCATGCCAGTTGCTAGAAAGGTTATCTTTACATTTCCCCAAACACAGAACTGAAAGTTTACCTGAGCTGATCAAAGATAAAAAAGAAATTATTTTCACATCCAAGATAAACTGGTTCTCAACACTTGGAAAGTATATTGGATTGTGCCCTTTTCCATTACAATCTGACCATAGTAGACCAAACATAACTAAAATTCAGCTCCAGATTAGCCGTATCAGTAATATTCACAACAGGCAAATAACCAACTTCTAACTGAATTTAAACTAATTCTTAAAAAAAAAACAGAAAAGGGTTAACCATGATACATGTAATGATACTGTTTATCTTCAGATTTGCCTATACACTATCATTCGGCTGATAGTTCTTTTTCTAAATAACTTTAGTGAGATATTTATTAATCATTTATGTGCCTGTGCCTGGAGAAAGGGCCACTAGGAAGGCACTCCGCCAGTCCCAGCTGGACACTTTTCAAATCTGACTGAGGTGGTCACCGAAAGGAATATAAGCAAGGATCTTTCAAATTACCTTACAAAAGCCCTTTTTAATTGTACTAAAGTCAGGCAAAACATAGTCTATCATTACTGTATTTTCTTCTCCTTTCAACCTGGAAAAAAATAGAGATTTATGAACTATTTAGCTACATATAACATTCCCAAAATTCAACCTCCCAATTCCCCGATTAGCATTATGCATACTTAGCAATATCCATATCTCTATAAAAGTCCTGAGAGACATAGCAGACATCTTCTTTCACTTGATTAATCACATGGGTTTCATCCATAACATGTAACTGCCTAAAGAGAAATAAAATTGTAAAATTTCAAATTGAAAAAAAAATTAAACATAACTTAGAATTATTATCTTAACTATCTTTTCTGGAATTAAATTTTTAGGTAACTAATATTTTAAAATAGTAAATTCTTGAGTGTGTAAGATACTTGTAACTTCATGGAATACTTATTTCCACTGTCTTCTTTAATCTCCACATTATCCCTCTGAAGACAAAAGTCCAGTTTGCAGAAGGAAATTGAAAACAGGTGTTAAGGGGAAGGTGCACCCAATGAAAGAGCAAACTTTTTCCTCCAACCATTCTGACAGAATCTTGCCTTAACCTTTTGCACTTTCTTTTCTGATTACAGAAGTATCGTGAATCAGCACACAGCAGATGCTTAATAAATAACTGATGAGTGAATCTCAGAAAACATGGGCTTAATGTATAAAGATTTTTTAAAATCAAATAAAAATGGAAGGTTATTTCCTTTGAATATTTTTCTCTGCACATAGATTATATACATGTTTATATTTTATGTCTGAGACTAAACATTATCTCATGAACATTTTCTTATACTTTTACGTATTCTTTACTTATCATACATTCTTTAAAAATGACTTTTTCACTGCCCTAAACCATTCAATCAGAGGGGTCTATTAAAAGGTATTTATCAGTGTTCCTAATGTTGGAAGTTTAGATGAGGGAGGAAAGATACTTGGGTGTTTATAAACATGAACTTTGGAGCTGAAGACTTAGTTTTAATCCCAAATTAGTAGCCAAATTACTTTAACTCTTTGGGAGCCTGTCTCTTCAACTCTAAAAAGGTATTAAGATCACTGACTTAATACAACTATAATATCATTCTAATCATACAGGTAGAGTATTTAACATAGTTCCTGTACTCAATAAATAAAAAACATTACTATTGTTTCTTTTTGCCTTTGTTTTATACATCATCATATACACTGTATTCTACCTTCTCCACAACTGTATCAATGAGAAGAAAAAAATGCTAATTAAACCATGAAAATTCTCAGGTACCAATGACTGGAATATTCACCTGATTTCAAAGGTTAAAATATAAAAAAGTACAATCAGAATCAATGAAATACAGGTATTTTTAATCGGTATCTCTGATTATTTCATTACTTATTCATACTCTAGGACACAGAATATAAAATACTCTTAGTTTCTTGGTATGCTGCCAAATTGTTTACCAGAAAAGTTATTTCAAGCTGTGCTCTGATCAGCAGCAAATAAGAGTGCCCACATCACAGATCTACACCATCTTTTTTTTCCTTTAAAATAAATTTTTATTTATTGTTTTCTTAAGATTTCATTTATTTATTTTAGAGAGAGGGAAGGTAAGGAGAAAGGGAGGTAGAGAAACATCAGTGGGTTGCCTCCCACACGCAGCCCAACCAGGGACAAGGCCCCCAACGCAGGCATGTGGCCTGCCCAGGAGTCAAGCCTGCGACTTCTGGCTTTGCAGGATGACACTCAACCCACTGAGTCACACTGGCCAGGGCTTTCCTTTTTTTAAACTTGATTTTTAGAGGGAGAGAAAGGGGGAGAGAGTGAGAGGGACAGACAGATTTGTTGTTCCACTCATTTATGTATTCAATGGTTGGTTCTTTCTTTAAAGATTTTTAAATCTTCACCTGAGAACAATTTTGTATTGCTTTCAGGGAGAGAAAGCAATTAATGTGAGAGAAAAACACTGATTGGTTGCCTCCCGTAAGCGCCTGGACCAGGGATGGAACCTCCAACCTCAGTATATGCCCTGATGGGGAATCTAACCCATACATAACCTTGGCATATCAGGACTACGCTACCTAGCCAGGGATACACCATCTTCTGAAAAAAATTCCATTAATGCGGATTAAATGGCATTTTAATTTATATTTTCTCTACTAAGAAGCGCCATGAGGAACAAGCATTCTTGTCTATTTTGTTAACTCATGTATCCTGAGAGCCTAAACAAATGCTTAGTATTTGAATTGAATCTGTAACTTCTATAGGTGTTTCACATTTTTTAAGTCTGAGAATTATCCACCTACATCCCTTGTAACTCTAATGTAACTGTTACATCCACCTATGTAACTCTCTAATGATCCTCTCTGTCTGTGCCACTGACCATTTGTTTCCTGAGAATTATCTAACCATTTTATATCTGGGTAGCTTTCTTATGGGTTGATACATCAAAGAAAATAACCTTGTCACATTTGTTTCAGGTTTATGTTTACCTGAGTTTTGTTTACAGGGGCTTTTGATATACCTAAATAAGATTTAAAGTTTTTATGTAATGAAACAGAAAAGCTGGAAAAATGTACTCCGTTCAAGGCCAGTGGTTTCCCTGATTACAAGGGAACAAAAGAGAGGTTGGAGTGAGCTTTTCATGTTCTGTTGGAACGATGTTCTGATTACTGGGGTATATTCACTTTTTGAAAATGCATTGAGTTGTACACTCGAGGTCTGTGAACTTTTCCTTTATGTATGTTTTACTTCAATAAAAGTTTATTTTTAAAAAAGTTGTACGTCGGAAAAAATATATCCTTTATTATTTCTTCTACTGCTTTTATGCTTAGCAACTCAATCAAATAATTTCTTGTTGTGGTTTTGTTTTTAAGTATTAAATCCATTTCAACTTTAGTATATGAGGCTGAGTAAAATTTTCATTTGTCTCCAAAAAGACAACTTTCCCGTATTTTCTCAGAATAAATAATGCCCTCCTTAATGATTTCTGATGTTTTCTTTAGTATAATTTGCTTGTTTTTAAAGTTTTTAAAAATTTATTTATCTTTAGAGGGGAAGGGAAGGAGACAGGGAGAGAAATATCAGTGTGTGGTTGCCTCTCATGCGTCCCTTGCTGGGAACTGGCCTGCAACCCAGGCATGTGCCCTGACTGGGAATCCAACCGCAATCCTTTGGTTCGCAGACTGAGCTCAATCCACTGAGCTACACCAGGCAGGGCATATATAGCTTTTCAAAAAAAACATACATTTGATTCAAAATTAACCATTGCCCTGGCCGGGTGGCTCAGATGGTTGGAATGCCATCCCATACACCAAAAGGTTGCTGGTTCCATTCCCAGTCAGGGCACATGCCTGGGTTTTGGGTTTGATCCTGGTCAGGGAGTATATGAGAGGCAACTGATAGATGTTTCTCCCTCACATTGAAGTTTGTCTTTCTCTCTCTCTCTCTTCCTCCCCACCATAACCCTCCCACCACCACTTCTTCTCTCTCTAAAATCAATGAAACATATCCTGAGGTGAGTATTTAAAAACTACTCAGTCTCACTTATCAGTTAATCGTTCTAATTATTACAATTTAAAAATGATTACCGCATTTACTAGAGAAAGTCTCCTTTTGCTATTACTGCTTGCCATCACATTTCTGGGTATTCTTCCCTGTTTGCTCCCAAGATGAATTTGAACAGCCTTGCTTTTTAAAAAAAAATATATATATATATATTTTCATTCATCATGGAGGAATGATTAAGGGTACAGGCCTTGCATTCAAACTGCCTGGGCTTCTGTTAACATCCTCATCTGTCTTAACCTTGTCTGCTTTTCCAATTTGCTGCTTTCAAGCTGACTGAGATAGGGCAACTCAACTTCCAAACTTTTCAAAAATGAGCCCAATTCTATTTGTTTCTGTAACTGATAATATAATATTACAAATGCTATTTATGACTGTTCCATTTTTGGCATTAATCTATTATTTATTTATTATTGTTGTTCAAGCACAGTTTTCTGCCTTTCCCTCCACCCCTCCCCACCACCCCAGCTGTCTCCGCCTCCCCATTTCCACCCCCCCCAATCTATTTATAAAATAAAACTTATTTTCCTTTTAGACCCTTATTTCCTTATAAACATTTTCAATTTGTTTTACAATGTACAGGTACAACATCTATAGTTTAAAAAATACTGTTAATACATTAAATTCTGTAGAGTTTGGATATGTCTTTTTTTGGTGGGCACTACCATTTTATATGCTAGAAAGCTTTTCAACTTAAACATCATTAGTATTTACACATGTGAAATAGCTTTTTAAGCAATAATAATATAGAATTGCCACCTGAAGTTACAACTAAGGGTAAAGAATAGTCTTAAACTGCTTGAAAAGGTTCATTGCCAGCATCCTATCTTCCCAAAGAATAAAAGCTAAGTATTACCTATAAGATATGATCTCCTTCAGGTGATTGGTTAGGAGTTTTCCTCCCACATTTATCCTGAAAAGGAAGAATGCAAATCTGGATCAGTTCATCACACATTTCTTTTTGTTTTGTCCCAAGAGACAACATAAAAATCAACTTCAACTTACCGAATAATTGCTTCTTTTTTCTTTTTACTTCTACAATAAGGGACTATATGTGTAAAGGAATATCCACTATCCACAATGATACAGCATAATTCGGAAGGATTATCTCGGAAATACCTATGTGCACTGAGAGCCCCAGCTATTAAAAAAAGACAGAGAAAAAAATAAACATTAAAGTATAATTAATTTGAAGAAATAAAGAAAAGTAAAAACTAAGGCAAGCAAAGGAAAAACTGTTCTTTTATTTATGAGGAAAAATGTTCAGTTATTATATTCATAATTCTGTCAAGAGTTCTTTAGTGTTTAAATTTAAAACATCACCTTTTTGTATAATCAATTTTTAAAAGTTAAATATTCATTTCACAACTTATAATAATTGTTTTAATAGCAGATGATTTTACTGAGCATTCATTACATGCTGGGCACTATGCTAAACTCCTCAAGGGTATATTTTAATCTCATGAGAATCCCATTTCACAGGAACTGCAGCACAGAGAAGTTCAGTACTATACCCCAAAGTCACCTGATTAGAAACTTAACAGAGCCAGGATTCAAACATAGGCAGTGTGACTCTAGGGCAGAGCTTCTCCACCTTGGATGTACTGACATTTTGGGCCAGGTAATTCCCTGTTGTTGGGTTTTACTGGGCATTGTAAAATATTTAGCAGCATTGTACCTTTCTACCCACTAGATGCTAGTGGGACCCAACTAGATGTCTCACAGTTGTGACAACCAAAAATGTCTCCAGCCATTGCCAAAAGTCCCCTGAGGAGCAATTCATTCTCGGCTGAGAACTTCTAGAGATTCTGCTCATAACCATTATAGTATATTGTTCCTTTATATAGGCTTAAATTCTGAAAGCAAAATATTTGAGTATGTTCATTGTATAGCCACATAATGTAATTCTAACCTTTAATAAACTTACTTCTGGGTGGTATTTACAGATTGTTTTTCCTCCACATGTTGACAGCTTGAACTATTAACATTATTTCAATCAATAATAATAATAGTTAACACATCTGTAACAGAAAAGATAACTACCACAAAAACAATAATCTTTCAGAAATTAGAAATATGTGGCTAGGAACTTCATTAGAGAGAAATATCATAATAGTAAAAAGATAAAATGGGACGCCCCAACTGGACGCCCTAGTCCAGTTGGTTAGGGCATCATCCCAATACATCAAGGTTGTGGGTTCGATCCCCGGTCAGGGAACATGCAAGAATCTACCAATGAACACACAAATAAAGTAACAAAACAAAACAGATGTTTCTTTCCTTTCCTTTCTCTCTTTTTCAAATCAATCAATAAAAAACTTAAGATAAAATGAGAAAAATCTGAATAAATAATCTCTAAGGATCCATCTAGTTTTTAAATTCCATGTTTTATTTCCTTCAAATCTAAAAGAATGTGACCCAATATTCTTGCATTTTAAGTGTTCTTTTACCCTGTTCATATCTAAATTCACATAATTCAATTTCAACCAAAACTTTTAACTCACCATTTACTCTTAATACTGCTTGGAACTGGTATTCTTCAAATAGGATTTCATTCATGGATTCTTGAATTGAGGTGAAATTAAAATATGGTTCTGTGATAATAATATTAGTATCTAAAAAATCAACCTATGAGAGAAAAAAATCCCAAAAGTTTTGTGGTTATAGTTATAAACACATGCTTTACATACATAAACAACTGATTTTATCCTCACAATAATCCTAGGAGATTATTAAATCATTAACCTATTAAATGGGTGTAATAATCCAGGTCTTACTACACCCATTTAATAGGTGGACAAACTGAGGCACACAAGAGTTGAATAAGTTACCAATGTTCATATACCTAGTTAGTGACATAGCTAGGATTTGAACACAGGAAGGCTGATTACAGAATTCATGCACTTTATTATTTAATTTTACTATCTTAATGGTAACATGAATAAAAAGGTGCTATCAAATAGTTTAAAGGTAATTATGCAAAAGTAATCAATAATTACAAGCATTGGGGTTGTTGTTACTTTGTTTTTAAAAGTTAAAACGTGAGAAGCTTGAGGATATTTAATATTTACATAGTTCTCTCCCATGCATTCTGAAGCAGAATTAAAATTTGAATATCTTCTCTGCATACTTAAAGTCACATGACTGACATTAAAAGCACAAATTTCTCACAATGTAATATTCAAACATTTAGATATATAGGTAAAAATATTTTACGGTGAAAATAAAATTAGACCTGACTTGGTCTAATAAGAGTAGAAATCTTAAGTAAAATTTTAATCTTGAGTTTCATACAGAAAATATGGAAATTTTATTCACTTGTACTTACTTAATATTTAGAAAATCAAAGCCAGGCAAAGTGCCCTGGGTGGTGTGGCTCAGCAGGTTGAGTGCCGGCCTGTGAACCAAAGAGTCACAGGTTCTCACCAGTGATTCAATTGCCTATCAGGGCACATGCCTGGGTTTCGGGCCATGTCCCCAGTGGGGGGTGTACAAGAGGCAACCACACATTGATGTTTCCCTCACTCTCTTTCTCCCTCCCTTCTCCTCTCTCTAAAGATAAATAAAATCTTTTTTTTAAAGCTAGGCATAGTATATTAAGTGACAAATATTTGAAGCATATTCAAAAGATTATAAATCTTAAAATAAAAGCTCTAATTTTTCATTTACATAAGACATGGAAAGAAATTTGAATACATACTCTAATTTGTTACCTGATACATTTCTTTTCCAAAAAGGTAATCCCAAACTTGTCTTTGAACATCCCAATTCACCAAGTAACCCTAAAAAAATTTTAAAATAAATTTAATAATTAAAAATATTTTAACAATTTTTAAAAACAGATTATTTTAAATCATTGATTTCTATTTCTTTATGGTTACCTTCATCAGTCTAATGCTGTTTTTCTCCTTCTACAAGTCCAAAAAATTGCAAATTAACATAACCAAAATGTCAAGAGTTCAAAATATATAACAATACATAGAGATGATTCTCTATACTTATTTTTTTAATGTGTTCATCTCGTTTAACATAAACTAGTAAAATTCAGTACTCACACGCATAGCCAGTAACTCAATTATGATCATTTATTTTTAACAAGACAAAACCAATTTTGGTTTTACTAAGCTCTCGTTTAAAATTTTAAAGACTTTTTTCAGAGATCTAAAAATATTTCCATGCATACAAAATCTTATACCTAATTTTTAAAATTATCTTTAAGTTTAGGTCTGTAATGGTAGAAATGATATAAATTGAATTACCTTCTGAAAGGGAAGGATGTAAAAGAGTCCAGAAGGGTCCTTTATTTCATCTATCTGGTTAGCAGTAAACGTTTTAAGACGTGCTGTTTTTGACCTGAACTGGCAGTTAGGAACAACCCTACAAACAAAGAATTAAATAATATAATTATTTCCTAAACTTACTTACTTGCCATAAATACATTTACTTAACCACCACCTTGGGTGCCAAATAATACCTAACACCTGAGTTTCTCATTTTTTTTCAAATAATAATTTTAAAAGTCTTCTTTTTAGGATTCTGTATACCCGGTTCTATGCCCATCTCCTTTTCTTTCTCTAATAATCAAGAACTCCTTTCAGGTGGGTTTTGGTTCTGCCAACCACAGGGATGAATAGGGAACCTACAGTAAAGTCCTGGGTCTTTCTGGCTTTAATTCTTTCAGTCTCAATACCATTCTAGTGAAAAGTTTACAAGTTCAATATTCTGGCAACAAAATTAAGTTTTCATGAAGTCAAAGATTTTCAATCAGCAAGCTGGCATAGGGTAAAGAAGAAAGAAGTAGTTTTAAATGTGATTGCTGTCCACCTTGAGCTTACAATCTATTTAGGAAGACAAAATAGAGCCATTATCAATCATTTCTCTGTGTTTAAACACATGGTTTTGAAAAGCAGCATTGTAGTAAATCTTATGGTTATATTACAATTTTAATCAATTTGGTATTCTTGATTATTTAGTATGCTTTCTTTTCTTCTTTTTTTCTGTTACCATACACAATGTCTATAAACACTTCATAGCATCCTGTATTTACTCATAGCAAGCACCTCTAATTTATTCCTTAGGCAACTGATAATCGAATCGCTGTATCAAAGAATAAAACCAATGATACATATTGCTAAAGGTTTTTCAGAAGGTTGTAACACTTTCCATCCTTAAGCAGTTCGATTGATCTCTTTAAAAGAAAACGGAAAGGAGGAAGAGAAAAAAAACCCCTCTGTGAATATAAAAGAAGAAAAGCGTGTCTCTAAATTTACTTCTACTTCATGCAAACATACATGAATGCTATGGTAGTATTTGTTTAACTGACTTCATAATCAACCTAGTTAACCAACCAGCACTTCAAAGGGCTTAGATACAAGCTTTCGAATTAGGGGGGTCGTGCAGCCCTCTGAGGATTTGAAGAAATCTATAATCCCGTTTCCAGGAAAATGCATATACAAACAAATGTTGCCAGAGACTACTAAGATTCAAGAACTTTGTGAACAGAACTGCCCCTCCACCTCGCAACTAGGAAGCGCTTCTCTAGAAGCCTATTTTACTGATCAATTTCCGGTTACAAAATGAAACAGACGTCCCCCTTCTCGGGCCATACAGCCCGAAATTAACATCAAAATCCCAGTTCAAAGCTTCCCAACCACCTAGCTCCAACCAGAGCATCTCTTGGCTCAAGTTAGGGCCGCGCGGGGGCATTAGTCTTTTGCTGACTCGAAGATGAAGCGCAGCATAAGAAACAATTAGGCGTGTACGCCGTGTGCCTCGGAGAAAACGAACACTTACGATACATTTTCATGGCTGTAACCGATTTTGGCATTGTAGGCTCCGTTATCCAACACTAACGTCGTCATTTTAGCAAAAAAAAAAAAAAAATCCAAAAAACAAAAACAAAAGAAGGCGCCGTTTCTTTCTCTTGCCGGCCCTTCTTCTCAGATCTTTTTTTTTTTTTTTTTTCCGGGCAGTTTCTGGTTTGCGTGGGTGGAGCTTAAAGGCGCGCTTCCGGTTTCTCTTAGCAACGGAGGACGCCGGAAGCCAGAAAAAGCCCTGCTACTTTGCTCATCCGTGTGAGTCGGTACTAGTGTGCTCCAGCCTAATCCGTTTACGTCGTGGCGAAACCCACGAGTGGAAGCGGCTAAACGCTTTTTCACCCATTGCGAATTTGTCTTTTACTTCGCAGTTTGACTCGCTGCTGCAGTTTTCTTCTAACTTTTGTAGCGAACCAGGTGTGTGTGTGTGTGTGTGTTCGGATAGTATTGTTCAGTGACAATGGTGTATAATAAAGCGCAAAAACATACTCAGCATGGTATTGGATATGAGGTCTTTTCAGCCTCATTCCCCGCCGTTGTCCATCCTACTGCGGGATCCAACTACTCTGAATTGCAAATAAGCTGTTCTGTCAACCTCCCTTAACTGCCTTGCTTTTCAACTCACACTCACATACTTCCCCCGTCTACGTGTTCATAAGGACAGAGCTCTGCATCTTATCAAAAAAGTCTTCCCGACATTGGACATGCACGAGTACTTTTTCGTTCCCCTTCCTAAAATTAGGTGTTCATCCTGTGTGTTCCTGTAATGCTCTCGGCTAACTCCTTCATGTCATAATGGATAAGAGAATGAATTTTGGACTGGAATGGAACTCTGCCACAAAGTAGCTGTGTAACCTTGGACAATGAAGATGATAATGAATAATACACAATGCACGTGGATAAACTGCCCTAAGAACTTTACATATGTTAACTAATTTAATCTTTACAATTTCTGAATGAAGTACTATTACTGAAATCAAAGACATGGTTAAGAGTGCAGTCTCTGAATTCAAACACCTAGCTCAAATTGGGGCTTTGCCACTAGATGGCCAGACATATTATTTAACCTTCCTATGCCTTAGTTTTTCATCTGTATAATGGGATAATATTAACAGCACCCCCTTGCAGAATTGTTTATGAAGAGCAAATGATAAAAGTACCTGGTAGTGGTTATAACCACCACCACCATCATCCTTTTAACATATGATCATTCTCTGTTAACTTGTATACCTTGCAAACTCCCTGAAGTCAGGCACTGTATTCCATTGGTACCAACATCCCTTTTATCAAAAAGGTCACCGAATGTCCAAAATTATGTTAAATTTTAGTGATTTGATTTTTCCTAATATTCAATTGATAAGATCCCTTACAACAAATATGTAAAGAATATTTTATAAATCTTATACCGTGGAGCAGCCACCACCAATATCGGTTTCTTATCTTTTAAAATACACTCTTTCAGCCCTGGCTGGTGTGGCTCAGTGGATTGAGTGCCGGCCTGCAAACTCATTGGCCTGAAAGATCTTCGGTCAGATTCCCAGTTAGGGCACAAGCCTGACTGTAGGCCAGATCCACAGCTGGGGGCATGTGAGAGGTAACCCATCAATATTATCTCTCACACACTGAAGTTTGTCTCCCTGTCTATCTCCCACCCCTCCCTTCTCTCTAAAGTAAATAAGTAAAATCTTTTTAAAAAATACATTCTTTCAACCGTGTCTCTTCTGGTTGTCAGCCCTTTCACATTTAAGCTTCTCTTTTTGTTTTCCTTTACGTGCTCCTTGATCGCTATCATTTTTGTTCTTGGCTTCAGCTATCATTACATGCTTATAAATCCTAAGGCAGAATTTTGCCCCCCAAAACTGTAACCTGAATGTTTCTACACAGATACCCTGAGATAATCTCAAAGGCAGCAAAACCAAAACTGAATCTTATCTCCAAAACTGCTAATTACTTCCACATTACTTATCTCAATTAGTGGTGTGCCCGAAGAGCCACATAAAGACCCAAGTTAGAAATCTCAACTACCTTCAACTATAATCCTTGACTTAATCTCTGAAATGAGAGATCCAGGTTCTGGAATGCACCTTCTTTCATCTCTACTGATACTGTCTTATCTCTCACCTGAAATAATGCCACTGTATCTTCAATGTCCATCCTGCCTCCATTCCCTTCTCATCATGATCTGTGCTCTGGACTGCCAGCATAAAAATCAGCAGCTATTTTCTAAAGCAGAAATCCAATCATCCTCCCCAAATCCACCCTCCATAGAAGTCTTCCATGGCTTGACATTGCCTATGAAATAATGTTCATGCATTTGCAATCTCATCCCCCCCCCATTCATCTTATGCTGGTAAATGTTGAACCACCAGGTCTCCAGGAAATAAAGCTCTGATTTATGAGGCTTGACCACTGTCTGTGGAACAAATACAGTCAGAACAGATAATGTCAAGATATCTTTAAGTCACCGCACACAGTTGGTCTCAGAAGCCAGTATAAGCCAGCTTTGGCACAGACTCTTCAGTAAAAGCTCTGACACTATTTACCTTCACACTACACACTCTTCTTCCAGGTTTTAACTGGAAGAAGACCTTAGCCAAAAGGCCAAAAGCTCTCTCTCCTCCCAGGTTTTAGCACAAATAATCTCAGGTATGTAAGTTCTACTTTTCAGATATATACTTCAGCAATGTATAATTTTAAAAGTTAAAAACATGACTCTTCTATAAATATGTAATTAACATGTACAACATATTTAAGTCATATTAATAAGTGAATAGGTTTATACCCTATCTTGTTGGTTCTTACATTAATGACTTAATAAATCTCTGATGCATGTTCATGATATATCTGTATGACAGTCATGTTTTTAACTTTTTGAAAATGTGATAATTAATTAGCAATTAACAAAAATATAAGTTAATTTAAAATGCTAAATTTATGGTGGTTTCGTGACATTATGTGTTCTTTCAGTCCAGAGACAGTACAATTAAAATTATTACCCTGCATTTTCTCAACCAAAAGGTACTGTAACTGCAATTATTAACCTGTGTGGTTCGTTAAAACTTATTACTTTGAAAAAGGAATCTATAGTTTGTTATAGCCAAAACATTAGGCCATTTTGCCATTTAGAAGTCATGAACTTTGACATTTTTGTCTTTTTTTATCATTGTGTTTCACCTGTCTGAAACATCCTGCCTAGTGAATCAATACCATTCTATTGCATCTTGGATTTTCTAAGTACTTTAAAACTCGTGACAACTTCATGAAGGTAAATAGTACCACAAGGCTCAGAGATTCTTTTCCTATGTGATCATAGGAAAAAATTGCATTCTTTCCTATGAGCACATACTTTTCTATGATCACATACCTAAAAATCTGCAGGGTTAGGTTTCAAATGCAAATCTTTGACTTCAGAGACAGTTCTTTTTAACACATTAAGCTGACATTCTCATCTTTGAAGTAATATTGCCACTGTAAATCTGTCTGACTTAACCAGATAGAAATGAATCATTCCCTCCTGTGTTCTCATTGTACCTTGTTTCTGTTTGCAATTATACTTATTATAATAGCATTATTAAGAGCTTGACATACACTAGGCACTCACTTTATATGCATAATCTCATTTAATCCCCACAAAAACTCTGAGTTAGATACCATTACTCCAATAGCCCTAAATGGTAACTGAGGGTGAAAGATATAAATAACTTGCCCAAGTTTACACAGCTACGAAGTGGCTGAGCCAGCATTTGAACCAGTATAATGACAGAGTTCAAGGTCTTAGCATTAGCAATTTACCTTCCACACTAGGGTCTTAACTCTTTGATGGCAGGAACACTGGTTTGTTTGTTTGTTTTTGAGGCATCCTTAGTTATTTGAATAATAATATTCAAATATATTGGTTCATGATAAATGTTCAGTGAGTAAATAGTCAACCCGTATATATCTGCTTTCCTTTCTTTGGAAAGGGACGGGTGTTGGACTCTCCCTGACACATACTCACACCTCCTCCTGATACATCCCACAGAGATAGTGTAATTTCTTTTCCTCTTCTAGAAATCACTGGATGGTCGTTTTCACCTCCGAAAAATGTTTGTTTAGGGTTGAGTGGGGCGGAGGTTCAGAGCTGTAATAGTTCTCCCTGCTATTTCAACATTTTTCTTCTGCTTTACAAAAATATTCAAGTAAATTTTACATCTTCATTTCTTTAGATATAACAACCTAGTGAGGTAGGTAAGGCTGATAGTATTAGCTCGTTTTATAAATAATTAAACTGAGGCTAAAAACAAGGAAACTATTTTCTCTAGTTAACACTTCCAGGAAATAGAGCCTGGACTTGATTAGTCCTTTTAATTCCCAAGCCCTGGGCTCTATTAGGGGACGTCGTCAACTCTTACTTCAGATTGGAATCACCAGATGAAGCATTACAGGATTTAGCCAGGAAAGCAGGATATCTTAGCAAAGAAAAAGAAAATGAGACAAGAATATGGAGACAACTGACTAGGTAAACAGAGCAAAGCAAGCAGAAAAGTTTGTGGGACAAATTCTGAGGAAATTTAAAAAGACAAGTAGGACGTGGTAGGTAGCTCAGTGAAGGACACAGGAAGAAGAACAGAGGCGGAGAGAGTGGATTAAAGCCCAGGAAGGTTTTGGGATCCCGAGTCAAAGCACCCTAAAGCCTCAGGACATCTGAGGAAACCGCCCCAGCCTGGGACAAGCGTGGCAGGGCAGCACTTTCCAGGCCTGCCCGGAACGTGCGTTGCCACGCCCCTCCCCGCGCTCGCCCCGCCCCTCGCGCTCGCCCCGCCCCAAGCCTGTATCACCCCCGCCCTCCCCCAGGTCTCTTAGGTGATGCTGCAGCCAAGATGGCGTCCGCGGCGGCTGCGGCGGCGTGAGGGAGATGCTCCAGGTCCTCCCCGACAGAGGTGGCGGCTGTGGCCTCGGCCGGGGCCTCGGGTCTTTCCCGGGCGTGAGCGTTCAGGCCCCTCCCGGACAAAGAGGAGACGGCCGCGAAGAGAGGAGGCAGTGAGGAACCGAGAGAGAGCGCGGTGCCTCCCGCCCCGGCACCATGGCTGGGCTCATCAAAAAACAGATCCTGAAGCACCTCTCCAGGTCAGTGGGAGCCTCGGACGTGGGGGCCAGTCCGCCTCCGCCCCGGCTGGTACCGGAGGCAGCCCAAAGCCTCGGGGACGGCGGGGACTGGCAGCTGTGCGGGAGGCGACCCTTGGACTCCCCGCTCGGGTCGGAGCCCCGGCTGTCCTGCCGCGCCCGGGGTTGGCCGCACGAGTGAGCCCCCGGACGGGTTCTTCCCGGGCCGGCTCGCGGGGGGCGGCTGCAGGAGGCGCCGGGCCAGGGTCCCCCCGGCCAGAGCATCTGGGGGCGACCCGGGGACACCTTCGCGGCGGTCCCGGCGGATAGTGGAGCTGCCCTGGCGTCACCTGGGTGCCCGTGGGTTGTGGTAGAATGAACGCGAGCTTGGCACTCGCCTCCGCTCGGAGCAGAGCCGTCCCGTTACCCGAGGGCGTCTGGCGCTGCGTGACCCGTGGGGCAGAGGCTTGTCTTCTCGGGGAAATGTGAACTTTGTTGTTGTTCCGAATTCACCCCACCTCGCCGTTCCCGCTCCGGGGCATTAGAGGGTGTGCCGGTTTGCACAGTTAGGATTTGTTTTAGGTAAATAAGCACATATTCCTAGCTTTGGCAAGTTCTTTCTGGAGTCATTTTAGCCCCACGTCATTTTTGCAAAACAGTTTTTTTTTTTTTTTTGCTTTTTTTTGGTCTTAACCCGAGACCCATAAATTCAGATTTAACATCTGTGGTAATAAACCCAAGACTTGTCGTTCTTTCCATTTCCTAACGCGGTTTTATTCAGAAACATGACTCAGTAAAGCTGGCAGTTTGTTGCTCCTGGCTTCCCCATATTTGTCTCGAGACACAGGCTAAATGTAGGATCCTGTTTCCAAGTTGTTGACAGCGGCGAATCCAAAGCGTTTGGTTATGACCCTTTACTCTGTTATTGTAAGTTAATGATTACTTTCAACGCATTGTAGGAAAAGACTTGGGTATAATGATATATTTGTACAGCAATGACAGTTCTTGACTTTACAGATCGTTGTACACCACAGGTTATCTATTGGGGAACAAAATCAATATTTCTGTGATTCAGCACATATTTTCCTTATAATGTTGAATAAGATATAACAGTTTTTAAAAGCAAAAAATTATAGCAGCATTTATGAATATACATTTCTTAATATTACCACTAATTAAAACGTTTCTTTAAAAGTGTACATATGGTCCACGTGAGTAACTTATTTTGGAAGAAGTTTTTATCTTTTAATTTATTATTTAGATAAAGTCTTACCTATCAGATGTCCTTCAGTCTTTCTTACACTTATGTCCACTGGAATATTCCAACCTACAGAAAATAATTTGAGTGTCTATTTTCTTGTTCTCCCAAGGATGGTAGCACATGGTTCCAATCTAGATGTAAGGGAGGAAAGTTAATTCAATCAGTGAGTGCCTTAGAGTATTAGAGTTTAATTCTCACCTAGAACAGTTGAGGACTCCTGTAAATTAATAGCCAAGGTAATGGCTTACTTCACAAAATACACAATACCATATATTCAGAATTTGTATGACTTCTAATATCTGTGTTGTAAATACTAAGGAGGATTTTTTTTTCAGGAATGAGTTTTTGAAACCCTTGAGTTTTTATTTCATATTTAAAACAACTCAGGTGACTGGTAGTATCAAATTTATATTCTTGGTTTATCTTACTGCTATTGTGTCATCTTTATGATGTTATTTATAAATCTAAAGATGGCAATAGATGAAACAAGGTGGTAAATAATAGTTATTCAAGTAGGGATGAACTTTTGAAATTACCTGGGTCAAACTTTATTTTACAAATTAGTAATGATGATGTCACTATATGATGTAATCATCTGGAATACAATTTAATAAAGCTTAACAGGAACTACTTAAAACACATTACTTCCAATAGCATACATTTCAAATGGCCAGTGGATGCAACCCTGGCAACTGTCTTCAAGGAGGTCTTCCTTAGTTAACTGACCACACTTTTTTGTATAGCATTCATCCTCATCTGTCATGTATTTGCTGTCTGTCTTGCCTAGATTGTGGCTTCCTGGTCAAGGGCACATACAAGTGACAACCAATGAGTGCATAAATAAGTGGAACAACAAAATCAATGTTTCCCTCCCTTCCTCTCTCTTTTTCTCTTCCCTTGCCTCCCTCTCCCTCTTCATCTCTCTTTCCTTCCTCCCTCAATCCCTCCTTTTCTCTATTTCTCCCTCTTTTTCTCTGCCTCCCTTTCCCTCTCTTCCGCTCTCCCTCCTTCTCTCTCTCCCTCTTTTCTCTTTCTAAAATCAAATTTTAAAAAAACTTCTATTAATCCAAGGATATGGATTTATTATTCAAGGATATGTTTATTGATTTTGGGAGGAGACAGACAGACAGGCAGGGACATAGATGTGAGAGAGAAGTATTGATCGGTATTGATCCCTTACGTGCCCCACTGTGTCCCCCACCAGAAATCAAACCCGCAACCTTTTGGTGTACCAGGATAGCGCTTCTACCAACTCGGCCACCCGGCCAGGACAAAAGAAAAATGTATTTTTTTTTTAATATTCTCACCTGAGAAAGAGAGAAACTTTGATTTTGTTGTTTCTCTTATATGCATTCATTGGTTGTCTCCATAGGTGCCCCTGACTGGAAATCCACAATTTTGGCATATCAGGATGACGCTCTAATCAACTGAGCACCTGGCCAAGGGCAGAAAAAACAAAACAAAACACAAATTTAGTTTTTGAACGAATGGAAGAGTAGCACTAATCACCTGACTCTCTCTCACATTGCTTTTTTCTTAACTTAGGCAAGCCTCTAGGCCATCAATATTATTGAAGTTTACCTGTGGTTTTGAGGAAGCAGTGGGTAATTGAATCACTGAATAAATGTGGTGTTTATGGTGTCTTGGCAAAAAGGACTAGGAAAATGAACCAATAGGAGAAAGAGAATGCTTACTCTGAGCCTTGAGATTTAAGATTATAACCAAAACCAGTGTTCTGGGATGTAGGTGCGTGAAAAGCCAACTTTGATGAAATGCTGCACTGTTTGAGTCTTTTAAATCGGTATACTGGTTCCTTGCCTAATTGTTTAGTTTCTATCCCAAGCGTGTCTTGTATTGTTAATAAGTTTGTATACTTGGAACTGATCTCAAACTAACAGGCATGGGGGCGGGGCGGAGGAAGGGAGAGATAGAGGAGACCATTTGTGTATGTGGTGGCGTGGGGGTTGGAGTTGTTACATTTTAGAGAAGTGAAACAGGATATCTTTAAAGGAGAAATTACCTCCATGTTTCATACTGTAATTGGCACAAAGTATGCTTTGGAATATTTCCTGGGAGTGTCTTTTTCACAAGGGAATGGAAAAGTTATAAGCATCAGAAAGGAAATAAGGGCAGGGGCTACCTTTCAGCCCAAGGCCTCATTATTTTTTACTGTGTGTGTATACGGGAGTGCCTGAGCAAAAGTGAAGATAGGGAAAATAGAAGCTGCAGGATGAGGTATGTTTAAGCCAGGACCTGCAGAGGGGTAGGGAAAGTTCAGACACAAGTGCTTCCCCTTTCCCTCTGACTCAAGGCGTACTGTAATGGCACAAGGTTTACTGGGGGGGAGTGGGGGGAGTTGGCAGGAGAGACATTCACCACACGTGAGTGGGATCTTTGTTCTGTTTAAAGCAGTGGTTCTCAGTCAGGGGTGATTTTGTCCCTCTGGGGAAATTGGCAGTGTTTAGAGGCATTTCTGAATGTCACAACAGAAGGGTGGTTAAGGGTACTGACATCTCGTAGTTAGAGGCCAGGAATGCTGCTAAACATCCTCCAATGCACAGCACATTCTGCCACAGTAAAGAAGTATTTGGCCCAAATGTCAGTAGTTATGAGGTTGAAAAACTGGTTTAAAGTGCACACATGTGTGTCAGGTGATTGAACTAGGATTACTGTGCTAGTAAAGGTTATTTTGTCTATAAACAACAAAACCCTGCTATGTTTAACTCAGGTGAAAAGGTAAATGTAACCAGTAGCTCTGGGAGTGGGTCACAGAATAAGGGGAAGGGGAGGAACTAGACAGCTCCTGGAACCTGTTCAGAAATGTCCTTGGATCCCAGCACTATTGACACTTTGACAAGATATTTCTTTGTTGTGAAAGGATACTCTGTATGTTGTAGAATGTTTAGCAGCGTCTCTAATCTCCACCTGCTGGATGCCAGTAGCACTCTCACAGTCTTGACAATGAAGAATGTCCCCACATGTTACTAAATGTTCCTTGGGGACAAAATCTTTCTTGGTTGAGAACCACTGCTTTAGGGTGCTAGCTCATCTCAGCTCCCAAACTATGATATCTCCTGTCAAGTTTCAGATTCCTGGGAGAAAAAATCATGGACCAATTAGCAATGGTAAAAGATAATGGGTACAGTAAAGATATGATCATGGGGAGAACTGGTATTTTGAGTCAGGCTTGTTGTCTTTAATAGGCACAGATGTAATTAGATGTCAGAGGCCATTTGCTATGTTTAGGAAATTGAACTTCATCCCAGGTGGTGACTGCCAGTGAAGAATTCCAGACAAGAGAATGATATGATCAGTAAAGAGGCCTGGTTATCAGTTTGGTTTTTGAAATCCCGGGTTCAGAATTGTCTGGGGGTGGAAGTACAGAGTCTGCAGGGGGCTCTGATGAACTTAAATAGAAACAAGGTATTGGAAGGTGTCAGTATTCCACAGGATTTATAAGAAGGTTAGAGAACTGGACTTGTAAAGAGACTGGATCCAGGCTAGCCTCAGGGATCTAGGTAGTAGAAACTGCCCAACACTTTCAATAAGATGTGTTCCCTAAACTAAGGGTAGGGAAGAAATCAATAGTGTGGGGGAGTGGTCACCTGAGAAGATTGCTGAATATTTGGAATATTTATTATGGAGATTAGAAAGGGTTGAGCACTTGGTGGGATCTTGTGATTGGATGGCAAAGTAATAGAGTTTAGATTGCCTCACAAGGTATTGATGGGGTGGCTTCGGTGGCAAAGGGTGGGGGGAGGGAGGGAGGGAGGGAGGGAGGAAGGAAGGAAGGAAGGAAGGAAGGAAGGAAGGAAGGAAGGAAGGAAGCAAAGAAAGAAAGGATGGACATTCTTAAAAGGAAATACAACATAAATTATTAGACTGTCAAATTATTTTCTCAAATGGTAATTTTATATTATCAATAGGCTAACTACTGACATCTTCCACTTTTATAGTAAAGCACAATAAGTAATTTTTGAGATTTTATGTATACATGGTTTTGAGCACTTGGCATCAGAGTCATAAAAATGGGTAAGATATGGTCTCATCTTTTGAGAAGCTTCAGTGATTTTCATTATGGCATAAGAAGCATGAGTAAGATCATTAAATGTAACCTACATATAGAACTATGCTGCCATTGAAATTTGTGAGGCTTGTTTTACTTGGAGTAGACAACTGGAAAAAAATTGAGTTAAATGTTTCCTTTTAGAATTATAAATAAATATACTTTGATAAATTTGGGGATTTTTAAAGTAACTTTTGGTTACTTACAGTGACAGTATTCTTTTAAAAATAATCTCCAATAATGTTTGATACTAGATATACTAGTCATTTATTTAACAAATATTTGCTGAGTGCTACTTTGTACCACTTATTGGTCCATATTCATAGAGCAAAAAAATCCCTGCTCTCAGTGGAGTTTCAATTTAATTAGAAGATGCTAATAGTAAATAAATACAATAAATAAGGGAAATACATTGTATCAGTTTGTGGTAAGTGCTACTGAAAAAAAATAACAGGAAAGGGAATGGGAAGTATGTACACAGAGGTATTGAGGTACAGAGGTATTGAGGATGGGTTTTGCAGTTTCTAATCTGTTGATTCCAGAAGCCTTAATTGAGGTGATATTTGAGAAGAGATCTGAAAGAGGTTGTAGAAGCAAATGAAGAGATGCAGAAGTGGAAGTTTGTTTGATGTTTTTGGTGTATATCAGGGGTGTCCCTGGGCGCCAACCTTTGGCGTCTCTGGGCCACACTGGAAGATGAGTTGTCTTGGGCTACACATTAAGTACACAAACACTGAAGAAAACTGATGAGCAAAAAAAAAAAGTTCATGTATAATTTTTGTGATATCTGCTACTGCAGATAAGCAAAAAAATCCTCACATAATAAACCCTAATTATACAGTGGCCCTGTCAATAATCTTTAAAATCATCGACCAGGTCCCAAGTTTGTGATAACTAATATAGAAAATGTATATATTTAAGTAATAAAATTTAGTATTAAACTTAGTAATGTTTTAAGTAAATGTATGATTTTGTGTTGTGTGGAATTCATAGCCATCCTGGGCCACATGTGGCCTCAGGGATGCACATTGGACACCCTTGATATATATCTAGGCCAGTGATACAGGTAAAGGAGAGTGAAGAATGGAGTGAGTGCAAGATGCATTCAAAGGTCAGATCTTTTGGGGCTTTGTAATGACTTGTCTTTTATCTGAGTGAGATTGGAATCCACTTGGAAGGCTTGGAGCCAGGGATCACTCTGTAGCCATGTGGGAAATAAATAATAGGAGGGCAAGGGCAGAAACAGGAGCCCAATTAAAAGAGTTAACTGTCTAGATGAGAGAGATATCGGACCTAGGTGGATGCCGTGGAGTTGTTGAGATATCATCAGGTTTTAGATGTATTTTTAAGGTAGAACCCCAGGGTTTTACTGAGAGAGAAAATGTGATGGAGAGAGAAAGAGAGCAGTTGTGGCTGACTCCAGAGTTTTTGACATAAACAGCTGACAAGATGGAGTTGCTGTTCACTAAGTTGGAGACTGTAGGAGGAACAGGCTTATGGAAGAAGATCAAGGGTTAATTTGGGTACCTTTAGATATCTATGAAGATCTGTTTTCTTTGTGAACTAATTCACACTACATGTTGTAGTCTGGCAGTAATGTCCTTTTTTGTGTGTGCGGTTATCCTTTGGTTTATGCAGTACAGAGTTTTTATTTTATTTATTTATTTGCTATTGAGTGCCCTATCTGAAACATCTGAAATCCAGTAGGTGCTTTGTTTCTTTGACATTCATTTCTAAATAAAACCAGATATTGATTCTTGCCGAAGTTACTTTCAGGAGATTGATTTGAAAACTTTAGGTGTAAAGGGGGTGAATGCTTGGTCTGTTGGGTGTTCTGATATCACCATTCTCATAGAATCAGAAGGGATTTGTTTCTGTCCATGAGAAGGTGATTATTAAATGTTGAGATGTGTCACTTGCCTAAGGTTAAAGTTTGACAGGTAGTGTTGAGTGGTTAAGTCACTGATTCAGCACCCTTTTAATTTGATTTTTCTGTGCTGCCTGCTTAAACTATTATTCCCACCTAATGGCTTGATTTTCTTTTACCCAATTTTCAGCATTTCCTTTATTACTCTTACAGTGTTTCACTATCTTAGGATATTCTTAGTAGTGCTTAGGAGCTTTTATTACTCGGGAATCCTTTGACACAGCAGTTCTTTGAAGTTGTGGAAGCATTATTTCTCCACTTATTTCTTTTTACTTGCATAATCATTTTTGCAATATTACTTTTTGCAATATTATTTTTTGCAATATTGCACTTTACCTTATTACTGCAATTCAAGTGTAAACATTTCCTTAATAAGTTGATCTCTTATCAGTTATATATCTTTTAATTCTTCATTTTACATTATTAAGGGTGAGTAATTTAGTATTTCTATTTAATATTGGAATTAGTTGGTATTAGTGGCTGGAGCTCACTCATATTGAATGTAAGTTACAAGTAGAAGACTTAATGATTATTTCCATTAGTGAAATATGAACAGTTATCATGTCAAGACCATGTTGAAAGGTGAAGCAAATGTGATTCAGGATATAGTAATTTATTGTTTGTTTGATTTTTCAGGCAACAGACTTACTACTTACTGGTTTGTCTGATCATTCACTCACTGGTTTTGAGACTTCTCCCAGACAAAATGAATGTATAGTGTATAAATTTTGAATTCTCCAGAGTCTGGCACAAATAATATCCCCTTTTTATTACAGAATCTTTTATCACAAAATCATAAGCATGTAACTTGGTAATATAACAACATCACATGGAAGCACACTGTATGACATTTTAGGTGAAATGTTCACATTGCTGTCCATCTCGTGCAAGACTCGCGCGTGCCCTACTAACCACACTCAAGCAGGCTTACTTCTGCCGGACCCTGTGTATTCACCTGTCCTGTGAGATGTTATGTTGAGTATATGTGCTCTTTTTCTATCCAGAAAACCATTAAAACCTGGTGAGTTTTGGCACTGCTAGCCTAGCATCAAGTATTGTTTCCCTCTACTGATGTCTATTTGTAAACCTTTTGTACTTTCATTGTTAGGAGTTAATACTTAGGGATAAATGTAATAATACTAGAAAATCAGGGGTTTAAAATTTGGTAAAACTGTGTTTTTAAATACAAAATTGCAGTTTCTCCAAATTTTTCTTCGGCTGTGATGCTTTATATGTAATTGACATGTGCTGTAAAAAGGGGCATCCATAGTCTGTAAGATTTATCTTTAAGAAATATTGTAAATATCTTCATTGATAAGTCATTCATTTATTTTTTTTTCTACCAGTACTTAAGGTTCTGTAAGACATGTAAATAAAATTAAGAGCTAGAAATGTCTTCTGGAAACAATATGGTGGGTGAGTAAATAGAATTTAAGATAGCATCTCAGAAAATTGTAAAGCAGTAACAAAATAAAAGCACATAAATGACAGTCTTATGACGTAAAAATGGATAGTTATTAAATCTGTTTCGTTGGACTGCAGCATGCGTACCAGGGGAGTATTTAAGGCGAGTATTTAGAGACCTCAAGGAGGACTGAGGTCCTCCAGATTTGGCTGCAGCTTTGTTTTTCACTATTTTCCAGTACTATACTCCCCCACCTTCGCCCTTTCACCCATTCTCTGTTTTATTTTCTGTAGTCACATTGTCTGCATCCTTTCATGACAGTGTTTCCTCTCAGGCTTCATTTTACTTCTGCATCTTCCATAGGCAATTTTAAGTAGACTAGTCCTTACTGGTCACCTTCATTTGAAGTTTTTTAGGTCTTAAAATACATTGTTTGCTTTATTAAAACAAAAGCTTCATATTTGTTGATAGTGCAGATTGTTATCTCTTTAAGGGCAAAATCACCCTGATAGGCTCTGAATTTTGAGGACAGTGACTGTCCTTGTCTTGTTCACCATTGTACCTTTAGCAGCTGCCATAGTCCTGTGGTACATAGTAGTTGTTCAGAAACGTATTTAGCTGACTGGAGAAATAAATTTATACTACACTGGCCTTTCTTGAATACACAGGGCCTGAATTGGTTGCCCCGAATCCATTTTTGGCTTGTTTAAAAGTTGACTGATATCCGCAAAATGTAGATTAAAGTTTTTTTTTCCTGGTAAATACTATACTTTTTCAATTCACTTTTGAGTGTTCAGATGTAGTTTATTGCTGGATTTCTCTTTGGTTTTTGGGTTACTCTTCATAGGTAATTTGCTGTAGTATTTTCTGCAATGAAATGAGGATTATATGTTTTACGGGGCCTTTTGACGGTGAATTTGACCATTTGTATTTGTAGACTGTGTGTCTTTTAGACTGCTTGTCCTAATTGGCTTCATTTAATGTCAAATTATGTAGTTCAGACCATCTATACCTTCTGTATTACATAAGCTATGTCATTTTTGTTCATTAGTATCTTTAATATAAAACATTAAAAATACCTATTAATTTGGTAGAGTAGTAGTAATTCCAGTGGTAGGGAGAATGAAGAAATCACAAATGGTTAATTTATCTTATAATTTTAGCAGTGTTTGTTTTCGTTAATCCAGTTTGAAATACAAATATTTTTAAAAAGTGAGTCACAGCTAAATATCTTTATCATATCATTCCTCTCCTCTCCCTTCCCTTCAACTTGCTCCCTTCTGTGTCCCCCGTGTACCCATTACCTGCAGTGATCCCTGCTGGCTGTGGTGGAGATTGGTGTGCTGTGAATTTCCTAATCACCCAAATGAGTACCAGAGGAGTCTAAGAGACCCTGGCAACTGACTACTTGCTTTCATCAGGAATAGGGACCTTTTGTCTGAAATTTCCTGCCCTCAGGTAATACTGCTGTTCCCCATGGTTTTGTTTTCTTTCTGTAAATGGGAGCTCTTATGTCCCTCTTAAAGATACTTAGAGAATAATTTCTAATTCTTACTGTTTTAGATACCAATTTCATTTTTTTTAAAAAGAACTGTAGTTATAGGCTTGTGAAATTGCTGTCTCACAATATGTTTTCTAATATGTAAGGTTTGGCAATGCACTTACACTTTCTGATGTTGTCAAAAAAGAGTTTTATAATTTAGAGGGAGATACTTGGAAATAGTAATTAGCATTTGATCTATTCTCTAATGGGTAAGGCTTTATAATCTAATACAATTACTGGGGAATGGAGGCTCTTGTGATAAAGAGGATGTTTTGATCAATTCTCTCACTGAAGGGCTTAAGTGTTTATTTTGTGTACTTAATTATAATCCTTATTAAGGAGATTGAAGTAACTTTCATGGACAGCAGTGAAAAAAGGATTCGTTTTTTGAGAAATGTAAAAGGTCCCTAACCCCATTCTTTTCCTCTCCTCTCCGCTGCCCCTTTTAAAAATTCATTTATCAGGGAAAGCAGTTATGTTATGAAACCAGATTCATGTGGAAATGGCATTGAATTTCTTTCAATTTAGGATGTCATGAAAAACCTAGAAACTCAGTATCGTCGGACACTTCTAATGCTTGGCAAATGTACCCACATAAATACTTGGAATTTATTCTAAAAGGCTAGTAAGAAATTGGTAATTAAAGAATAACTATGAGTGGAATTGTGTAACACATTACATATTTACCTTAGGAGTAATGGGACAGGTGATTAACATGTTGGTCATATGTTAGCTAGCAGTTGTACAGGCATCGTGACATAAGTATTGTTTTTCAATATTCTTGTCTGCCATGATTCCATTTGGATATCTGGATCTCTACCAAAATTGCTAAAGGAAAGATGCCATGCTTTAACCTTAGGTAAACCATTAGTGAAACCTTTGAGATTCTCTCTGGGATATTGATAGTTAAGGACTTGTTGTTTATAATGTCATTCAACGATGGTTCTGATTTTATATATACTTCTAGCAGATCCTCTGGGACTTTTCTCCTGAAATATAGTCATAACTGAAATCCTGTGCTTTTTCTGGGTTATACATCCTGAACATCTTTTTTGGCCTGGTTTGTACCTAGTCTGTTGAAGATGAGGTGTTATGATTTTATTCTCATTTTAAACCACAACTATTCATGAGTTTATTCAAGTCACCTGCACAGTTTAATTCCTTGGTAATTTCTTTACCTTCTTATTTTAATCAATTAGGATTTCTTTTTATTTAAATAACTCGAATTTATGTTTTTTATCCTGAACCTAGTGCATAGCCAACAATACTGAACAAAGTAGATATCAACAATATTTAAATATCTCTGTTCTCACTACCCAGATATAACTCATAATGCCTTGCATCAGTTGTTGCAACTAAGTATTCTTGTTTCCTTCTGGCCTCATACTTCTTTGTTCCATCCTTGGCACTGTTACCAGAGAGACATTTCCAAAATGGGAATCTTATCATTTAATTTCCGGGTAAGAATCTTTTAATGGCTCATGTTTAAGATTTTTTTTTAAGATTTTATTTATTTATCTTTAGAGGGGAAGGGAAGGAGAGTGGGAAACATCAATGTATGGTTGCCTTTCATGTGTCCCCTGCTGGGAATTGGCCTGCAGGGAACTGGTCTGCAACCCAGGCATGTGCCCTGACTGGGAATCGAAGATTTTTTTAAGTTTGTTTATAATAGTAGAATATTTTCTCCAGAAAAAAAAATGAAAGTAGAACTTCATTGCATTGCAAAATAGACAAAAGTAGAGCTCCTATAATTGAGTCAGTAATTAGAGGGGTCAGCTGTCTTATCCTTTCATTTTTATTTCTTCTCCCACCTGGGTTGAGTCATGAGCAGTCTTAGTGGTACTGTGGGAACTAAACACTAAGGTGTGGGTTGAAACCCACATTTCTTCACCTGGGATAACAAGAGTTCTTCATTACATGGCTTTAGTCCATCTTTCGAGGCTTCTCATTTCTTTCCAAAGTAGTAGATGCCTCGTACTTCATCTTTGACTACTGTATGTGAACCTGTAACCTTGAACGTGCTGCTGCTTTGCTTGAAATGTCCTATTCTGCCCTATTCACTTTACTCTTACTTGTAAAAACTCAAGTGCTCCCTCCTCCTTGAAGCCTTCTAAAAGCAGTATTCTTTTTGCCATAACTGCTCACCTCTTCCCTTGTGCCTCAATCTCATTCTTCTCTCATTTTATTGAGAATAGGGTTATCTGACACACAGACCTGGCACATTGTAAGAACTTAATATACAGCAGTGATTTATTTATGTGCTTATCTCTAATGATAAAGTTTGAGGTTTTTCAAAGAAGCAATTTTGTCTTATTTATCTCAGTTGCCCAAAAGCCTAATCAGTGCTTAGTTTTTGCCATGAAGGATGTATGTTTAGTTATGGCAGCTCTTTCCATGTTTCAACAAAATTCAGAAGCTCAGATTTCAGTATAAGGTTCACTCATTTTAAATGTTAGCTACAAATTCAGGTTTTTAAAAGCACAATATAAACCAGAAAAAATATATCTGTGGGTAAAAATGTAGCTCACAGGCTGCCAATTTTCAGCCTCTCTCATTCTTTAAATGTTCTTGTGGAAAAACTGGTTAGACAAGATTGGTTGATTTTCTTTACATGCGTATTACAAAAATAACCAAGCCAAACAAACTCAGTAAATTGAGAATGTTCAAAAAAGGGTAATTATTATGCTGTACCTCCCTTGATCCTCGTTCCATTAGTGCTGTAGATTTCATTAAAAAATAATAACATTTATGCCTTAAATATTTAATAAGCCTCACCAATTGACATTGAGGATGAAAATTGCCATATACCCCCATAATGCCCAGTAAATATTCAGTTGCACTGAAATTTGATCAATATGATAATGGAATGGTAATTGATCCTAAATACCTTTTATGTTAAAATTGTACAAATTCGATTATACAGTTTGTACAATTATACTGCTTTGCTGTAACCTTGAGCAGTTAGTTGATTTAACCTCTCTGGGCTTCCTAGTTCTCTACTATAAAATGAGGATTTTGGATTAGAGGAACTTTTAAGGTACTCAAATTCTAAAACTATTTGAAAGTTTTTGCTAGTATGAAGGCTACTGATGGCTTTATTCATTTTTTAAACTTAGTTTAAAGTCATTTCTAATGTCTCTAGATGATAAATACAGTGATGTAGTTTTCAAAAATCCATGATTTATTTGCCTTTAAAATTCTTATTTCTTTGGAAATTATTGTGTTAGTTTATTCTTTTTTATTAAGAAGTATATGTATACAGATATGTATGTGTATCAAAGTGTACTCATGATAAATTACTCTTTTCTGAGCATACCCAACACCCAATGTACAGTTTGCTTGGCTTAATTACTTTTGTAATATGCAAGTAAAGAAAATCAACCAACCTTGTGTAACCAGCTTTACTGAAGTATAATTGCTTTGAATGCAGTTAACTGCAGATATTTAAGGTGTAGAATTTCATGAAATTTTGATACACCCTCAAGTTTTCTCATGTCCTTTTGCAATCTCTCCTTTTCTCCTTTGTCTTTTATTATTATGTAATATATTTTATTTCACTTAGATTAGTTTGCATTTTCTAGAATTTATATAAATGAATGATATACTTACTTTACTTTTCTAACCTTTTTCCCCCCAGCATAAATACTTTAGAATTAATCTATTTTGGTTTTATACATTTTATGTTATTGCTGTGTATATTCTATTGTGGATATGCTGCAGCTTGTTGACCCATTCACCTGTTGGTGGTCGCTTGGGTTTTTTCCAGTTTTTAGCTTTTACAATAAAGCTGCTATGAGTATTCATGTATAAGACTGTGAGGACCTACAAAGTTTGTCCAGAAGGTATCCAGCCACGTAATATGAAAAATAGAGATATTTATTGAAGAAGATATAAGTTACAAGAAACATTGTACATAGGACAAAGATACCCCAGTCTCCTTCAAAGTAGGCACCTTGAAACTTCACACAGTTTTCCAGTCTCCATCAGATGCCCTGACATGTGTTCCTGAATTTCATCAACAGTTTGAAATCTCTTCCTTGTCAAAGATGATTTTAGTTTTGGGAAAAGCCAGAAGTCACAGAGCACCAAATCTGGGCTGTAGAGGGCTGAGTCACCTGGGTGATTTGATGTTTTGCCAAAAATCTCTGCATGGCTGCAATGCATGAGTGGGCGTTATTGTCATGATGAAGCTACCAATCACCAGTTGCCCATAGCTGCAGCCTTTGGAATCACCCAAACAGTTTCTGCAGAGGAACATTTAAGCTAATGCAAAATTTGATGCATATTCGTTGTTCTACTCAGTCATTTGGAATGTGATGGTCACACAGGACACATGCTCACTCAATGGCGTCTACTGCCTCCACCGACTAGCACAGTGAAGTTGTTGTCATTCACACATGCGCATTGCAGTCCTCTCTCCTTGGCTGTCAGGTTACATTGATGTTGCACAAACCATTCTCATTATATTAACAGTGGTCGGGCTTTTCCGAGACAGACCTGGTATACTTTTTATTTCTCTTAGGTTAACACCTAGTGAAATGGTTGGGTTATATGTGGGTAATGTATAACTTTTTAAGAAACTACTAAACAGCTTTCTTGAGTGGCTCCAAAGTATACATTTTATATTCTTACCAGCAGCAAGTATATGAGAATTACACTTGCTTCATATTTTTACCAATATTCAGTATGGTCAGACTTTAATTTTATGCATTTTAGTGGGTAAGTAGTGGTATGTTAGTGTGGTTTTTATTTTTATTTTTAAAAATTAATTAATTAATTAATTAATTTATTTATTTATTTAGAGGGGAAGGGAAGGGGAAAGAGTAGGAGAGAAACATCAACATGTGGTTGCCTCTCACACGTCCCCTACTGGGGACCTGGCCTGCAACCCAGGCATGTGCCCTGACTGGGGATT